TATATGCTTCCTGTCCATGACAAATTCCATGTGAAGTTGAGAGAACTGAAGCAAACTTTGTTTGACAGTAAGAGGAAGGGAAGACAAAACTCATTTTCATGACTTCTAAAACATTTTTTTAACGTTAAACAAAGAAAAAGAAGGTACTACAGGGCCCTGCTCAGCATCATTCTTCACAGTATCAGTAAGCTAATGGGGGGGAAATGATTCCTTCCCCTGTGTGCATACAAGATCCTTTCAACTCCTGACACTTTAGTCCAAAATGCATCATTCAGTATTACAAAATGCTTTCAGCTCAATAGATTAGTGAGCATTTATAGGGAAATTTTTGTGGTCGTCTTAATGCAAAACACACACATGCAAGACACATACACCATAAAATCATACAAGTATTACTGAACAAAGTGTACACTGTATTCTTGTCACCAAGAATGCATTTATTTGCTTAATTAAAACAAAGACTTAGGATTCTTTAATTATCCTACCAAAGGCTACTGTGTCCAGATAAATGTCAGAGCACCTTCAAAACTGTGGACTACATTTCCCACAATGCCTTGTCATTTAGCCATGCTGCCTAGGGACTGATTGGCACTGATGTTCCAAACATATGCAGGGCATCAGGTTACCTACCTGAAAATCTCCATAATCTCTCCACATTTATACAAAACATGTTTGGGGAAAAATGGAGAGGAGGAGATGGGTAGACTAGAAGAAACTAAGAAACAATTTTATATACTTCCTTTTTTTCTTCTTCACAGAATGTGGAGCAATATAAGACCTAGACATACAACTGTAATGGAACCTGTCCATTATGGTCACATATCATGATGGCCATTAAGTGAAATGGCCTAGCATAAGGACCCCCACCTCACTCTCCTTTATGCAAGTAAGTGGAGCATGGGGTGCCTCAGGGGTGGGGGAGGCCCTGGGAGGCACTGTGGAGGTCCATGCCTGCCACCCCCATTCCACAAGATATCCCTTGCTCTGCTTCCTGTCATTTCTTTCTCCCCCAACCCAGGTCCCCGCAGGTATTCCTCCTCCAAATGGGTCCCCACAGGCCTTTGCTCCACCCCATAAGTCCCTGCAGGCTTCAGGTCTGCTTTCCACCACCCCAGACCCCACAACCTCATTTACCTTTTGAAGATGTCCAGAGCTAGAATGGGTCACTCTGTCGCTCAGCTGCGTAGCATGATTCCAGAAGCAGATTCCACGTACTTGCAGATAGCTTATAAACTATATGGTGGGTTTTTATAGGAAAGCTGGTATCCAGTTAGATGCACAAGATGATTAGTGAAATATTGGTTTTCAAATTGTGAACTTGGGAAACACAATATTCTTCAAATTATAGAAACTGAATAATCAGTTTGATAGATGAGCTTTGAAAATTTGAATTAGCTTGTATATCAGCTTCGTTTTCCTGAGAATGTAGCTAATACTGGAATTTGGGACATTTTCGTTAATTTACAAAGCCCTAGCTGTATGAACTCAGAGAACTTCCATACCATCTACAGTCACATGACTTCTAAGTAACATTAAATATTATTTGGAATGAAAATCTCTTTAAGAGTGATTTTGAACATTGCAAAATTCATAACTACTGTGTCTTGAGTTGCAGAAAATGATGGGAGAAAGGTCATTTTTAAAGATAGCAAACAAATACATATTTAGGCCTTAATTTTAATATTGTACAAAAATTGCAGTACACATGCACCCTCTAGTGTATACTTTAAAAACAACATTTCTGAGAAAATAATTCCCACATATTTTTGACTAATTTACATGTTTGCACTAAGGTTAACTCACAGCATAAACAAAGTGAAGTTAAATACTTTATTTTTTTAAAAAAAAAATGGAATTTCCCTGATCTGAGAAGCAAATCCCATGATTTTATTTATAATAGAAAGCCCATATGTTTATCAACATATGTGGATATATTACTAGCACCTGTAGTTTGGAGCCTGATCCCACATTATTTCCTTTGCCTCCTTCTTTATAAAAGCTTTCTTTCATTAGTTTTGTTTTCATATTCATTAAAGTTATTAATACAGCGGAATATGTCATTATGCAAAATATCAGAACAGATGTCAAGACTGAGAGAATATCTTGCTCAATATAAGCAAGGGTGCCTTATATGTTATATTCATAATGTGATTTCTTCGCTCCTGTGTAAAGCCAGTTATTGTGTTTTAAAAGTCACAGGCTGTGATAGTAGTGTGAACTAGGCTACTTTAGCAAACTATGTTTAAACCATGGGCCGAAAAAAAGATAAAATATAAGAATCAAAAATATTTCATATTTATGGTATCCCACTCCATACCAGAGGGAACTCCAAATATGCCAATACCTCAGCTGTCTAGAGTTGGAAGTATCCTTAGATTCTCCTCTATTCCAGTCCCCAGTTATATCCCCAATATCCAATATCTACTACCATAAATTCAGCAGATGAAAAACCATCACCCCATAGCTTAGGTTCAACCAGTAGACAGTAAAGGGCAGATTTCTGTCAATAGGAAAATAATAATTCCACGACCAGTAGAAACCATGAATTCTATCCTTCCTTAGTCAGCTAGGTCACTCTCTGAGCCCTATGAAGAAGGCAATGCCAAACCACTTCTAAAAATCTTACCAAAAAACCTTCTGTTGTTCATGTAGTCACCAGAATCAAAGCTTACTCAAAAACATAAATGCACATGTGCACATACACACACACAAACAATTCAGACTTTTGTCTGGAATGATTTATCATCATACATATGGTTTTTTTGTTTGCACTGAACCTCACATCCATTTCTCTTGTCCCCAACTCTGCAGCCACCAATAAGCTCAGGGATTCTTTTCAGTGTATAAAAACATTTAAGTCAGTATCTACAGTTAAACCGATTTTATGTTTTTCAAACTATTTGTGATTCCCTTGGCTATATACCACAGCAATATTACAAATGTTTGGGTGCTGTTTATGCAAAAGTGACAGTGCTTCAGGTGGAAGTAGCCTATAGTCTGTTTACAATCCTTGTGACCACTTTTAACTTAGTTTGTTTGCTGTTCAACAAGCTAGACAAGTTTTACTGTGCCATAATGTTAACTTTTTCTTATATCCACCTTTATTATCTTCACCTATCTTCACCAATGCTGCATAATGGGAATTATTTCATTTACTCTAGTCTATGCAATGAAATTGCCCATTTCTTCTATATAGCTTCATATTTCTAAGGAAAAATTTACTTCCACGAACATCAAATCACTGATCACATCACTTACAGATCTTTCCCCCTAGTGAGTGTCATCTTTTGACATTTCATTCATAATGCACTTAAAAGCTTTAATTAACTAAGTTTGAAAGTTGATACTATCTTATCTTTTCCTGAATGGACAGGTCTAAAAGCACTAACCCATGATGAATGATTACCCTATTTTATAGCTGAAACAGGGAAACTAAAAACCATTCTAATGATAGCTGTAAAATGATATCAAGGAACTTCTGAGATCACCCATATTCTCTTTTCATGAGCACTGTAGCCATAAGAGCTAAAACACAAAGACACACACAAAAGTTTCTACTGTCATAACATGTGCAACACATATATTCACTTTTCTATATTGTTATATACAACATATTTTTTACAATTTGATTTAGTACATTATTTAACATTAGCATAACTCCAAAACATAATATTCTTTGTACTCTTTTTTAAAAATAGTTGTAAACAATATTAAATCACACAAAAAATATTTAGCTTTGCCATATACAGAACATTGCTCTCTAATCTCTTTCAGATGTATATATTAAAATAACTAACATTAATTTCTGTAGAAAAAGTTAAACAGCTATTTATTAGGCTTCATAAAGGAGGAGGCTATTTCTTATTGCATTAAACTGAATTATCTTCTCCAGTGATTAAAATGCAAACTGTACATCTGAACTTCATGATGCCATTAACAAACTCAAAATTTATAGAATGTGGGGCTAGGCAGAGGAAAACAAGCATCCCTCAAATATACAAGGACTGGAGATGAAGCAATCTTAGAATGCTGCATTCAAGGAAGTAATGGCTACCACTGTAGCCTCAGCTATTCCAAAAATTGCAAAACAGGTATGTGGGATTGGCTAGTGCAGTGGTGGCGAACCTATGGCACAGGTGCCAGAGGCGGCACTCGGAGCCCTCTCTGTGGGCACACGTTGCCGTTGCCCCAGCCTTGCCTACCCCCTGCTCACCAGCAGTCCCCCTGGAGGAGAATCGCCCCTGAGCATGGCCCATGTGGAGCAGCGCAGCCAAGGACATGGCAACCAGGCAGTGTAGACTCTGCCCTCATGCCCCATCACGCAGTTGATGCTGCGGGGCGTGGGCAGAGGGTGTGGCCATGGCACTGCTGGGCTGCCTGGGCGATCTGTGGCAGGCCCTGAGGCGGTGAGTGGCCCTGCGGGCAGGCGGAGTGGGGGCAGGGCGAGTTTTTGGGCACTCGGTCTCTAAAAGGTTTGCCATCACTGGGCTAGTGTTTGCAGACATAAGCTGTTTTTAATGCAGTTACATCTCTAGTGTTTTTCAAGAACCAAATGAAGGCTCCTAACAGACTTCAGAGAATTCATGCAATTATTTCTCTAGTGCATATCTCTCAAGAAGTCCAGTTTATCTACTCTGAGTCAATATATGTGTCAAAGAGACAGCCCTAATCTAAATCCATCAGCAGATTAAAAGAAGTTAAAATTCAGATGACTTTCCTAAATAATAAGTAAACAAGCAGAGATAAAAAGATGATGTTTCAGAGGTGAAGAAACTTCCTAGGATTTCTGGGAGTACCACATGACTCTCAGAGGTCCACAAAATCAATTGCCAGCTTATTGGAAAAAAATATTAAAAATCCCATCAAATAATTGTGAGAATGGATAGCATCAGCAAATGCATCAACTTTAGTTTTTAATATGGTAAACATTGATAAATATAATCCACACAAACAAAAACATTTTTGAGGACCTTCATATATTTTAAAAGTGGGAAGGCTAAGAAACATTGCTCTAAATTATCAGACTACAGATCCTTAGGGCCTCATTATTGCCCCTTTTAAATTATTTTCTCCTAACGTATTTTTTTTCCTAATTAATGCAGTCTTAATTAAGGGACTTCAAAGATCTATGCATTCCTGGTTTGTTTGTTTTTTCTGTTCATATTTTACAGAATGTTCACACTGAATATTAAATTGTTTTATTGTTGCAGAGACTAGCACAATTTTGTTTTGGCAAAATTAAATGGTTGTGGAAGGTAAATGCTGAAGAATTGCATACGAAAGCTGCAAGATTCTTAGATTTTCTGTATGTAATGCTTCTACCAAAGTCAGCTGATTCACAAGATGTTTATAATGATTTTTTGAGACTGAAACCTGGAAAGAAAAAAACAAAATTATATTTTAGAACTGTCTGGTTGTTAAAATACATTTACTCACAAGATCAAATGTTCATTTAATATTTTAAAATAATTACATAATACACTAATTCTTCAGAACACACAATAATAGTAAGTGATAGGATGGCAGATTTTACTTGATGTCAGAGAAAACTTTCCAATAGTAAGAGCTATTTGATAATAGAACTATTTTCCTAAACGGGTATTGATATTACTTTCTCTACATTCAAGTGAAAGTTATTTATCACAAATGCTTTTATCTGGAGTACTATAATAGAAAAAGATTGGACACAAAGGCTTTAAAAGGTTATTTCCAACTTTATAGTTGCAGTTACATGCTGGCTAGGATAATGAGAAAACCATATATATTTGGAAAACCTACTTTTGGACGATTGATCTATTTCAATTTATTTTATACCTCTAGGAAAATTGCTACAAAGTCTAACTCTGTTAATCTGATATGCCAATCTCTAATAATGTATCAAATAATTCATCTATTCCATTTTTATTAGGAATGCAGTAAACCAACATTTTTCATTGTTTCAGTTGAAGAGTCCTTCTTCTTGAAGATTTATCAGAGCTAAGCATCTCCTCTATAAATTCCTAACCTTTGCTGGCTGGAGATAAGCTGATATATCATATGACAGGACACTTTTCAGCTTTAAGAGGAATCTGAAATGGTTTTTTTCTCAATCTTAATTATTTAAAATATTCCACTCTCAAATTTTACACTGGAGCAGTTAAGTATTAAAAGTACCTTGTGAAGCACATGCTGAGTTTCTTCCATCAATGATGTACATATTTTTGTTGCAAGATCCACACTCTTTTCTTCATTCTTCCTTGAAGCAACATCTCCAAGCACTACTTTTTTCCACAAAGTACTAGAATTATAAATTTTGAATATATTTGTATGTATCAGATATTCATACAAAGCAAGAAAATGGCAATCCAAATGACATTTCTCAAAACAATATTTTTCAGCAAATGTTTGCAACTTACAATTCATCTGCTTCAAGACATAACAATTTAAGGGCTGTAAGAAGTGTCCAAGATGGTCCATCCCAGCCAAACGTCAGATCACTAGGAAAAAAAAGTATTTTTTTAAAAAATCTAAATTCAATTTATTTCATATGCTGACAGAGAAAATACTGTCCATCTCACTTCACTGACAATTGCAATGTTCCATAGTACTCTTTAAAAAAACAGATTATATACATTCAGTTAAAGGGGTACTATCCAACTATTGCTGGAAATCAACTGTGAACTACATGATCTTTTAATATACATCTTCCTATAAAATTTCCATATGCTCCATCCCTAAATCAAGAGGTAGCAGTCCATGATTTTATTATTGTATATATAGAAATCTATGCATACGAAATATTGACTAACTAAGGGCAATATCTATATCAGGGACGTATAGGATTATAAAGTACACAAATTTCTTATGTCCCAAATCATGTATATTAGCACAACCTTCAACTAGGATACACTGCAGGATGAGTTCCAGTGTTCTGCAAAACTCCTGTATTTAATCACGGTCCATGCAGAAGCAACAAACATTGCACAAATTTATTTTTGTACTTCAAATCCACAAATAACACTGAGAAAGTTTAACGTGAAATCTTCAAAACTTATACCATAAAAGATATAAAGATGACTTACTCTAACAATTTGTGCTCTCGTAAAATGAAAAGTTTCGCAGATTTCTGTTTGTCTTCTGAATAAAAATATTTAAGCAATGTATCTAAAGAAAGTTAAAGTAAAATGTTTAAAGCAAATAAAAGCCGCAATACTTTTCAAGGCTGACATTTTAAGCATTCTGTATTGGTAGTTAATATTATTAACATATCTACTAGATATTAAAGAAATGAAAATTTCCTGTACACATATTCTTGTGGGCACGTCATAAGCCACAGTCTGAGAACCCCTGTTTAAAAAAATTGTGAAGGTACATAAGAGTAATACAGGAAAGATTTGAAGAAAAGCAATAATACCTCCAAAAGGACTTTTTTTATTCCCCTGTATCTCATCCTAGTGCATCAGACTACTTGTAGGACTCAATTGTAGGAAGTTTAAAAAACTGATAGCATTCAAAACTCTAAGAGAAAGTGATGGGCTTTCCTTGTTCTAAGCTTTTCGTTATTTTTTATTATTCATCAAAATCAAGATCTAGCCATAGACTTACCTGTACCAACATGCACACAGCTGTGTGGATTATCAGCAGCAACAAAACCATATTCTAGCAGTAGTCGCTGGTTGTCATGAGGACCATAAGAAATATATACTTCTTTGTATTTCTGACAGCCCAGATGTGTTTTTATTTCATAACATTTTGTATTTTCATTAAATGAAGCTTTCACCTGAGAATGTGAAAAAAGTTAAGTTCAAGAGAAACATATCAATATATTCTCATTACTGAACACAGAACCCTTGGATCAAACCTACACTTCTAAAGGCACTGGGCCTGTTAGGCCCACAAAATAAATATAATGGGGGAAATTAAATATATTTACTGATAAGGGTGGAAGGGATCCATTCTATGTTAATTAAACCAATTACACAATAGCTTGAAGCTTTCTTTCTCTTTCTAAACTTGAACAAGAATGCTATATGTATTTCACCTGAAAACTGAATTACAGACTCTCACAAACATATTAATCTCCAACGGATTCCAAAGAAATACAATTACCAACCTAATCCAAAGGGAAACACCCCCCAAGAACCGAGACATAGAACAGTACAACGACATCGCCCTCCTCCCCTACATCAAAGGCACCAAAGATAAAATCAGCAAAATTCTCCACAAACACAATATCAAGACAGCCTTCGGCACCGACCAAAAAATAGCCAACATCTTAAGAAACCCCAAAGACAGGATCCAGCTAGAAAACAAGGAGTCTATGAAATACCATGCAAAATCTGCCCAGCCACATACATACATTGGACAAACTAATAGGAGAATAAATGCCCGCATCGCAGAACACAAGAATGCAGTCAGAAAACAAGAAAAAACTTCCTCCCTCTTCCAGCACCTTAAAGCTACAGGACATGAAATTGATTTTGAAGGAATCAAACTAATCTCCAAAACTGAACACCACAAGAGAATAATTATGGAAGCCATCAAAATAGAAAAACACCCCCACAACATGAATAAATGTGACGATACCTCCCACCTACCAGACATCTGGAAACTAGCCCTAATCAACAAATGAGCCCTAGCCACAAAAACTGACACCGGACCCAGAACAACACAGTACGTCACCACCATTCACCCTCACCAGACCCAAACCCAAGCCCAAACCCATCCCTCAGACAAAATGCAACCACCATCCAGAAGCCAAACCACGACGACATCACCAGCTGCTGCACCTCCCTCCGACCCCCACACAAAGCAAACGGACACACGCCATGAACACAGAGCTAGACCGCAAACTCGGAGCCAAACCAAAGCCTGGTATGCTACATCACAGCCTTTTGCTCTGGACGTCATATCACAGAACTCAGGAGGTTACAACGCTAAAGCCCAGGATGTTATAACACAGCCAACCACCCAGGATGTTGCAACACAAAACTCAGGATATCACTACACTAGATCTCAGGATGTAATCACACAACTCATTACCCAGGTCGTTATAACACAAAAGACTAATGGGCACACAGCCAGCACCTCAACTACTCAGGATGTTACGAAACAGCTGAACAATCCGCAAACAATAACCCCTACACAGCCAACCAACCCACCTACAGCAACTAAGCCAGCACTCCACACACCCCCACCAATATTTATAGAGAGACGGCAGCTCCGATCACACTTTGCTCGCACAAGCACGAAGCCGAAGACCCCAGCCTGAAGATGACGAGTGGGACCTCGTCAAAACGTCACCAAGATACTCTTAATCTTACATGGGAAAAGACCCGAATATGCCAAGACCTGCATACCTGTACCCGTGAAAATCTACGAATATATATATACTGACCGGCATTGTAAGCCCTGATGATGTCGGCAGATGCCGACGAAAGCTAGGTGTTTTTTAGGTATTTTAGCATTGAATTAAATTATTTTATTGTACTCCCTGGTGCTCACGTTTATTTATTGTATGGATACACCCAGGGATCACATTTTTAATATAATTATTAACATACATATATATACAAATTTTGGATTGCTAACAAAGAATTAAGGGGGACTGGGATAGCTATTTCGAGCTGATTAGCTCTCATCAGCCAGCCATACCCTTCTGAGATTCAAACCTGGGCTGCTTGCACGTTAGGCAGCTGTGTTGACCCCTAAGGCCACAGGCTCTTTCTCACTTTGTCAGCTGTATCAGGTAGGGAAGAGACAAGGGGAGGAGATTTGTCTTGAGTGTTTTTTTGATACACCTTGTTGGCCCAAATATTTAGGAAATACAAATGATGTCACAGTAGCGACTGCTGCCTGTGGACGGCTCTAGATTGAGCTGATACAGGCAAAAAGACTTCTTCCTCCCATATTTGGGCCGACAGGGTGTATAAAAAAAACCCACTCAAGACATATAAGACTTCCTTTTTCTTCTTTCTTTCTATAATTAATAAAATTAATATCACCATTATTATCATCTTACCTGGGCCTTTGGATTGTGATTTAGCAGATCCAGAAATGGAGCTAGAGCATATATATCTGGCTCTCTAGAAAAACAGTCTTTCTGTGAATGTTTCATAAACACTGTTCTTGTATTTATAGTGCACCAAGCCCACCGGAAGGCACTGAAGTTAAAAATAATGGCCACATCTTCAGGAAATAAAGGCTGCAACGAAGAGAAGAACTGCTTTGAAGAAGCAAAAAGGTCCTGGATCGATGATTGTTGCTCGAGAGCCTTTCTTTTCAAGGGCTCAGGGAAAAGGTTCAATATTTCTTGCTCCAAATAGACAGGACAGGTATATGTTTCAGGTAAGAGATCCAGGTACGGTTTCCATACAGATGTCCTATGAAACCACTTCTCTGTTATTAAAAATGAACATAATGCTATCAAAGGAGAAATTGGAGGTCTCCATCTATTGAAAAGGCAAAGGAAAGCATAGTAACCGTTAAATACATTTTGATTGTCACTGTTTTTTTCTGAGTTTTATTATCATACCCAAAGCTTTCATCCACAAGGGATGAAATTGAAAGAAGGAAGAACAGCTTGATAGTTTAAATGAACGGAATATCGGGGCCAATGGTCTAATCCTACAGCACCCAACCAGACATGTATGGGATGCCACAAGTAGAGCATGAACTTAACAGACCCACCTAACTGAAGTTCTCCAATAACTAAGTAGATTGTCTTTGATAGTTGAAGTAATATATACTCTGTTAGACATTTAGTGTCTTAAGTAAAGATTCCTACAGGTTGAGCTCCACTCCTGGCAATTTAATGGACACAGCCACAGAATCTTTTGAGCAATAGCATGGACATTGTTAGCATCCTCAGCTACCCCTATTTCAAAACAGATCAAGTAGCTAACCTTACTTTTTATTTGAATGAATGCCATGGTATTTAAATGGTTAGTAATTAAATATTGCATCTTTAAGTCAGTTTTGACTACTGGCAACTGCCTAGGCTAGTCCTTGCATTTTTCTTGTCAAAAGTTGAGAGGTTTGCCACTGCCTGCTTTCTAAGGCTAAGACAGAGTAACTAGTCAGACAACCTGTTTCCTGTCTAAGACGGGACTACTCTCCTGGTTTATAGCCTGATGCCCTAACCACTACATCAACCTCACTGTTTAAAGAAATATTTTTTTCTGTCTTGAGTTTCACACTATTTGCCTTCATTGGATGACTCTGCGTTGTCTATTTTGACAGAAAAAGAAAAAAGCTCCATATCCATTGCTGTCATACCTTGTCTCGGTTTACTCACTCCTATCACATTCTGCTTATTCATCATTCTTCTAATCTAGAAAACAGCAAACACTGTAACCTTCTCTGCCATAAATGTTTAACCATTTCAGTATCTTTTCCTGCATCCGTTTTAAGTATACCAATTAGAATGATAGAGTAATTCAATGTTCATTGTTACCATTTTCATTGTAGGTTTTCTACATACTGTATCATTTGACTTTCTTACATAAATATCATTTTAGTGCCATGAGACACTGTTCACAATTGATAACATTACCATAATGAATGCCTGAAGGATGGGAAAGATATGATTCCCTGAAGTTGCATATAAAGTATTAGGCCCTAATAATAAGGAAATATGGGAGTAGAATTCTATGCAGGGTTTATTTCTGACACCATATAGTAAAAAAACAGATCATTTTCTGTATAAAAGAAAAACGGACACAAAGCTTACATATAACATTATTCATAGATGGGAACAGAGAGATCTCAGCCTCCCAGAACAGTCTAGCTCTGACTTTAGAAGGTCATTCTTAAACAAAGGAAAATATATAAATAGAGTCTGATGTAAAACAGCTCTGCTATCATTCATCGAAAGATACAATACTATCATTTGAGAACTGGAACTTTTTTTAATCGCAAGCACTAAGGCAGGGGTGTCAAACTGCCGGCCTGCAGGCCGGACGCGTCACGTGGAAGCCGTGCCCACCCCATTGCCGGCAATGGCAAAACCGGCCCAATACGTTGCGCGACGTCACGTGACGTTGTGAGTTTGACATGCCTGCACTAAGGCTTCTAATAACAAAATATGTGCTGATCAGCTCAAAAATGCAAGCATGTCTCTTATCATCCAGCAACTACTTTGTGAATGGCCATTTTTAATAAAGATAGTTTTAATGTTTGGATTATCTATAACAGACATGTCAAACACAAGGTCCGGGGGCTGGATGCGGCCCGCGATGTGGAAACAGTGAGGGAACGGCCCCCGCTGCCTTGGCCCTAGCCCAGGCCAGCTGGGAGCCAATGTACAATTTTGTGGTGGCCATCTATGCTGAAACACATTCAGTCTTAGCTCCATAAGCCCCCCCCCCACATGGCCTGAGAAGAACAGTGAGACTCCTCCAGTGGACCATGCCTTGGCATTTGCCCTGGTCCCATCCTTCTGCCAGAGACCCTCAGATCTATCCCACTCCTGCCCAGGCCCCCACAGGCATCTTTGACATGAATGATGTAGAGCTGGCCATACCCACCCAGTAGGCCACACCCACTCCATCCACGCCCACCCAGTAGGCCGTACCCACTCTGATCACATCCACCTGGCCCCGAGGGCAACCACAATGCTGATGCGGCCCTCAATGAAATTGAGTTTGACACCCCTGGTCTATAATTTGTTTTTTCTGACCTCAGAATTTACAATTCCTCACTTGAATGGGGATGGAATTTATAGGTGCATATGATATCCATGCAAACAGATTACTAAGTCAAGGTAATGCTTTATTATATCACAATAAATATGACAAGATTTGTTTTGAAGAAACACATGTCTAATTTGCAACTTACCTGGAAGAGGATCTCTTGTGTTATCCTTCTGAAACAATCACTCAACTAACTTTAGTTTCCCAAACATTCTCTAAAAAATATTTTTTAATTATGAAGCATAATTAATGGCATCAGTTCTTACAAAAATGCATACTGTACATAATTCCCCAATTACACAACTTTGTTCAAAGTAATGGAAACTGTTCACATTAGGAGAAGTATAAGTTTAAATAATAAGAGCTATTGAAATGTCAATGTGTAAATTTGAGAATTTTAATAAGTGGTGACCAACTTACTTTAAAATGTATTCTCTGAGGTAGCTGCTAAGCACAGTATTGGAAGTAAGCAAGCACTTTTCAGGCAAAGAAATAATCAATTCTTCGGCCTGTGAAATTAAAAAAAACCAGAATGAATATATTGAAAAAGTACTCATCTTATACATTATTATGCACTAAAGTAAAAAAAAAATTTCTAACCAAGCACTGTGTAATTAATTGCCACTTTTACAATAAGCAGATTTTCAAAAGGTTGCACATCAATTGCAGATGAGGCAAAACTGAGAATTACATCATCTTATCTTTGATATTCCCTCCTTGGAAACTCACTTTGGAAGCAACCCCTATCCCCACCAAAGACAAGCTAAGGAGGGTTAAGACAGAAGAGTGTCATTCCTTGGCAGAACCTCTAACAGTGTAATAACCCTGGTAATCCTATGAGAAGCTCTACAAGCGTGCATCTATTTCTATAACTAAATCTCAAAAGTGAAATATACCAAAGAAAGTGAAGAATATAGCTATGGATTCAAAACATCCCAAACCCTTAATGTAAGTTGATAGACGCAGCAAGGTATAAGTACAATGAAGTTCATTTTATAACAGCACTGGGAATATTTTAAAAATTGCTTGGCCTACTTAAAACACTAAAGCAAAATTCTATAATATCAAAAAAAAAAACTATCTCTACCCTGGTGATGTTCAATTATGTTGGATTACAGAATACCATCCTATCATCTGGCAAGTACAGGAATTTAAACCCCAAATCAACCAGGCTTTGGAAACGTAACTACAACCACATAAATCCGGTCCACCCACAGGCTCTTGAGTCCCTGCTCAAAACTAAGATACTAGCCTAATCCACTATTATTGTTTAAACATTTATAAATCCAGCATAAATTCGCAAGGGAAATCTAAATAATATACATTACATGGAAAGACAAGATAGTATAATTTCTCATATCCTCATTATGGTTCAGATAATTTCAACTGTTTATTCATAGGAATAATCACAAACCTGAAGCGTTTTTGTGGTCATCAATCCCCTTCCTGTTTCTAGAAGGCATAGGAGAGAGGAAAATGCAATTAGGTATACTACTATTGGTTTCTTAGACAGTTGTAATAGACTACTTAACATGACAAATATGGAATGACAAATATAGAAATTATTTAAGTCAAAACTTTTTTTTAATCTTGCAACCCGTTTTGGAAGCTTGAGGGAAGCACTGTTGTAGTCCCTCCAGCAATACAATTATGTTGTCAATTTACAATTTTCATAATGAAATATATAATTATCTTCAATTCAATTCAATAAAATTGAGCATGAATATATAGATATATCCAAGGGAAGAAATCAAGTATCGGACGTTTTTTTTGTATAGATTCCAGGATTGAGAAGATTTTGTAAATTCACAAATGAAATCTTTACAGCAGCAAGCTAAGAATTTTGGTTTTAAATAAGCTAACTATTGCTGGGACAATGTTGCTTCCCTGACAAATTTTCTAGCAAAAGGAAACTGAGATAAGAACTGGCCTGTCTGTATGAAAGCAACATATTTACACAGACAAGAGCAGACTGCTTTTGGGAATGATTAATCCCTTTCACCTTCTTTGCTTTTAATAGAAGAAATGGAACTAAATTCAGGAATTCTTTTACTCTTCTGTCTAAAAGTCACTGTTCTTCAGAAACTGCAGGAGCTAAAATAAGATTGTGCTACTCTGTTCAGCACGGGAAATGATACTGCCATTTCTGCTAAGATTCCTAATGAATGTGAAGTACATTCTGAATTAGCTGGCAATCCAAATAATGATATGAATTCCTGCTCACATATCCCCATTGATTAATCTTACTCCTTTAACAGCCAATCTGCTGTCAAAATTTCTAGAAAAGTTATTAGAACATTACCTGAAAACACTGCTGGAGTTAAATTATTGTTCTTGTAGCCTTTTTCTTTCAACCACTTCTTGAGAAGTATATATTCATTTTTATAACTCAAATTTACTAAATAAGAAAATAATCACATATCATATAAGGTATCCAGGTTGATCCACAAGATTATTTCACAACAATATACTGCTTCATAAAATCACATTACAAAACAGAAATGATGAAATATGTGGACAAAAATAAGCCCTTTGGCTTGTTTCAATAACATTTTTGTTAAAATCGTGTATTAATGCAATGTATTAATGCATCACTGATCTAAGTATTATATAAACTATAAAATTAACTATGCTTCACTGATCTAAGTATTATATAAACTATAAAATTAACTATGCTAAAGGCAATCCAACATCAGTGCAATAAAACAGATATCTAATAGAAATGGGATATGATTTAAGGATAAAATTAAAATCATTTAAATTTTATAGGAGCAATCCTATAGAAATTATTAATATCAAACCAAACCAGATTCTAGTCCTGTCAACTGGGTGACTTTGAGCTAGTCATGCTCTCTTAGCCCAACCCAGCTCACAGGCTTGTTGTGAGGAAAATAGGAAGAGAAAGGAATGTTCACTGCTTTATGTTAAAGGCAGGATAAAAATCAAATACATAAACACATATATATACATACATAGGTAAATAAAATGATTAATCATATTACCACCACTTGAAGAAAAAGCTGTAGATTGTTTTCTGTGTCTCTTTCGGTAAGTACGACCTCTGCATTTCTTCATTTTAAAATTATTTGGGAATTTGTACATAAACTGAAAATAAAAAAGCAAACCGAGTTTTTAAATCAATTATTTCAATTGCAGAAATCTGTTTTGCCACATTTTTACAAATATGTCGATAAGAAACTTGCATATGGCATATTCATGTGTATACCATATTTAACACTTGAAAAATAAAAAAAAATGCAAGGTAATAAGACCCAAAATACATTCGACACAGTGCAGTACTTTCAACAGCTACAAATGTCAATCAGATGTATGGTGAGGATGTTTCTAGGGAACATCAGAACTGCTCTAAGTCTTCAATATGTCTGTGGTTCCTCAATCGTTTGAGCACTCTGGTTTTTGTTTTTTGTTTTTTGTTTTTGCCAACTTTAGCTTAGTTTGCTGTAAAATAGGGTAAAACCTATGATACTGCAAGTATCTTCTAAACGACTATTCCTGGAATCCTTCAGTCACATCTAACGAGAGCTGTATAGCTCTTTTTATATTGTTAAATATTATTTGGGGAATGCGCTTAAACAGCAGGACTTACCAAAAATATAAATTTTCACTTAAATCAAAACATATCAAGATTCACGTTTGGCTAACCACAATTCCAAATGGGCTCAGAGAGGCTTTTCACTCAGTAAATCCATGGAGCATTATAATCTCTTCAGGAATAAACCACCCAAAATTTGAGAGGCAGAATTCTTGAGGATAAGAATTAGGAACGGGCTGAAGATATTATTTCCCTGCTACCTTCAAGCTTCCCACAGCCAATTCACGCTTCAATATCCCCAGCCTGCAGGCATGTTTTTCCTTTCCGATTTTCAACTATGCAGCACTTGCAAACCCAGAAATCACCAGGTGGCAAGAAAGCGGAAAAGGCGGTCCTCAGCCAATTGCCTATTGAGAAAAAGCAAGCTCGTCGAAGGTGGTTTCCCATTGGATGAAGAGCTCGTTCTTCTTCTCCTTACAGTCCTGGCGAGAATTACTGCCGCTTTTTGCGCGACTGAGAAAGGTAGGCTAGGATTGTGGCTAAATTTCTTTTAAAATGCTTTCTTTTCACTCCCTTCCATTCGCCTCAACCCCGCCGCAGGATTTTATTCTCTAACGTGCGTTTGTAACTCATTAGATCTTTGCTTGTAAAGAATTTAGAGCCTGTACAAACAGCTGGAACCGTTTTGCAGATGGCAGAAGATGAAAAACGTGGTATACTATAATTGTTTTAGGTAAAAGTTTTAAAACCTGGTATACCATAATTCTGGTATGTGGTTGGTTTTTCAACATCTTCTAACATCTGCTCAAGGATTCCGAGTGTTTTATTCTTTATGCATGCTTGGTAATTTAAGAAATGGATGAAACGGGAGGAGTGATGTGTATAATTATATAACCTTGCAAGCTTCCTTGGTGATTGGAGCACGTAATCGAATGTTGCAAGTTGTTATACATTTTCGACCTTCAAGGACTTTTTTCTTTTTCTCAATTTCTGGTTGTCTTGGCTTCAATTTGGCTGGGTAGTGTTTATAAAACAACTGTTTTAATGAGTTCATTTAATTGAATTATACAGCCGTCATGGAAGAAATCTAGGAGTCGAAAATGACTCATTAGCACATACTGTAATCAAAATGTTAAGTCATCCTAAAAATATATATTACTAGATTTTAATTTTATTTTATTCTCAGTCCCCACTGGTTGGAAGTTCTACTCTATCTAATCTGCCTTTTAATATTTTTAGTGAAGAACAGTTTTTACTCTAGATTTTTTTAATCCCACTTTTATTATTTTTACAAATAATTCAAAATGCTACTTGAGTTATACCTAATGTCTGGAATGTGGTTCAAGATCCTAAAACAAACAAACTCAATTGGAATTCCAGCAACAAAGTTTTATTTAAAAAGAAGCATTTGCAAGGCTTGATGAACTTAAACACTTTAAAGAGCTGTGTCATCCGATAAACTAGGACCGCCTAAAACCACTGTCCCTCCCATGTTCCAGGAAGCCCCTTTGTGCACATCCTATCACCATCGAATTTTCTATTAACAAAGCTCAATTATTATAATTATCTCTATATCTGTTTGCGGTTATACCTTTGCTACCTTAAGCTCTAAACTTTATCCTTGGTTTTTGTGTTTCCTCTACTTGCGCTTGTATGAAATTCACTTGTCAGAGTTTTTGACTTTCAGGTGGCTTCTATCAACCTTTAGACTCATTAGAAATTTCTGATTAATAATCTACTCCAGTGGTTCTCAACCTGTGGGTCGGGACCCCATTTGGGGTCGACCGACCATTTCACGGGGGTCGCCAAGCAAGGCTGTCCGCCATTTTTTTCCCCCTTTTCCAGCGGGTGCCTTACCTCCCTTGGGCTGGGCCAGCTGGTGGTCGGCCTGCTCCGTCTCTGCCGCTTGCCAGCTACGCCTCGGCTGGCGCAGGGGCGGAACCACGCATGTGCGGCGCTCCCGGGCAGGGAAAATCCTCGACTTACGACCGGTTGGGTAGTCCTCGACTTACGACCAGTTTAGTCCTCGACTTACGACCGGTTTAGTCCTCGACTTACGACCGGTTTAGTCCTCGACTTACGACCGGTTGGGGTCGCGGCATTAAAAAGGTTGAGAACCACTAATCTACTCCTTTCACCTAATACTCCTTCCTCCTCCCCACAACAACAACGACACTATGAAGTGAGCTGGGTTGAGAGAGTGTAACTGGCCCAAAGTTACTTAGCTGGCTTTCAGGTGTTAGGCAGACTAGAACTCACTTTCTCCTAGTTTCTGGCCTGGTGCCTTAACCACTAGACCAAACTGGCTCTGTAATTATCCTTTTAATAATACTTTTAATAATATTCAAGTTTTATATTGTGCACCCAGGCTGTCCTAGAATACATTTAAAACGTACTGCATTAAAAGCATAGTCCTCGTTATTTCTACAGTTGTCCTACCCCACACCCCAGGTACTATCAGGCTGAGTTTGAATTAGAAGCAGGGCACTGAATATTAAAACAATGTTTAAAACTATAGTCGGTAGAAAAATAGCAAATTAAATCAGTTGAGATTTTTTAGAAAGACTTCAATTTGTTAAGTGTTTTCTATTGATAATTTTTGGCATTTAATTATAGGCAAAATGTCTGCACGAGTAGCTGTGGTGACTGGATCCAACAAAGGCATTGGTCTGGCTATTGTGAGAGCCCTGTGCAAGCAGTTTTCTGGGGATGTGTATTTGACAGCCCGGGACTCTGAACGAGGCAAAGCAGCAGTGACACAACTGTCGGAAGAAGGATTAAAACCACTTTTCCACCAACTAGATATTAATGATCTGGGGAGTATCCAAACTCTCCGTGATTTTCTCAAGGAAAAATATGGCGGATTGGATGTGCTAGTCAACAATGCTGGGATTGCCTTCAAAGGTAACCTAAATGTAAATCACTGAATGTGAAATTGGGTGAACAACAGATCAAAGTTTTTGGCTACAGCTCTGTAGAGAGTAAAATTGTAGCTAATATTTTTGCAGGTCTTTCAGCTTTTTCTGTTGGGAAGATGAATCTGTACCAAAAATATGCTACAAATTTATTATTGGAGTTTATGCATGTGATAGCACAAGAAAGACTGAAAAGATGAAATAGATTTCTTTAACAGAAGAGATGAAAATCAACCAGATTTTCTGGCATTCCCTACTTTGGAGAGAAACCATCCTGGAAGGGAAAAGGCATCAAGTGACCAATCAGCCCAAACTCACTACATAAACATAAGAGGGCTAATGCCTTAGAGCAGTGGTGGCAAATCTATGGCACGGGTGCACCATTTCCCCATCCCCACCTCCTCCCACGGCTCCCTCACCAGCAGCCGCCCCAGAGGAGAGTTGCCCCGGGGCGCGGCCCACGCAAAGCAGCGCAGCCAAGGACATGGTAGCCGGGCAGCGGGGACAAGACTCCGCCCTTGCGCCCCATCATGCGCAGATGCTGCGGGGCATGGGCAGAGGGCGTGGCCGCCATAGTGCTGCTGGGCTGCCTGGGTGATCTGTGGCAGGCCGTGGAGGTGGTGGGTGGCCCAGTGGGCAGGGCGGAGCAGGGATGGGGGCGGGGGGCGGTTTTTGGGCACTCGGTCTCTAAAAGGTTCGCCATCACTGCCTTAGAGCCTTATCTATTCTTCCCCAGGCAAAAGCTGCCAGTCTGGGGAGATTCCTGTACAGGTAATCCTCGACTTAAAACAGTTCATTTAGTGACCGTCAAAGTTACAACGGCACTGACTGTTGCAGCATCCCCCTGGTCACATATCAAAATTGGAGATGCTTGGCAACTGGTTCATATTTATGACCGTTGCTATGTTCTAAGGCAGTGGTTCTCAACCTTTTTAATGCCGCGACCCCAACCGGTCGTAAGTCGAGGACTAAACCAGTCATAAGTTGAGGACTAAACCGGTTGTAAGTCAAGGACTAAACCGGTTGTAAGTCGAGGACTACCCAACCGGTCGTAAGTCGAGGACTTTCCCTGCCCGGGAGCGCCGGCATTCGTGGTTCCGCCCCCTGCGCCGGCCGAGGCATAGCTGGCAAGCGGCAGAGACGAAGCAGGCCGACCACCAGCTGGTCCAGCCCAAGGGTGGTAAGGCACCCGCCGGAAAAGGGGGGGGGGAAATGGCGGACAAAAAAAATGGCGGACAAAAAAAATGGCGGACAGCCTTGCTTGGCGACCCCCATGAAATAGTCGATCGACCCCAAATGGGGTCCCGACCCACAGGTTGAGAACCACTGTTCTAAGGTCAAGTGATCCTCTTTTGCGATCTTCGGACAAGCAAAGTCAATGGGGAAGCCAGATTCACTTAACTAATCTTACTCTCTTACTGCTTATTATCTTATCAGCTGCAGTGATTCATTTAACAACTGTGACAAGAAGGGTCATAAAATGGGGCAAAATTCACTTAACAAATATTTCACTTAGCAACAAAAATTTTGGGCTCAATTGGTCGTAAGTCGGGGACTACCTGTATTATAGGCAGAGAAGAAAGTAGTTAGTTTGAACTCTACAGATATGGGTCTTATATATGCCTAACATATATACAGTATCATTTAATTGTCTTTCAATAGATCTCTATGTATTCTAGTTTGATCCCCATTTTTAATGTCTGAATATATGGCCTATATTAATTTATAGGGTCATATGCATGTATAGCTTGTGAGTTCCTATAGATAACTGACACTTCAAAATTTACCATAATTTTCATCTAGTCCTATACTTGCATTTTTTTCCTTGTTCACCTAGAAGGGTTGTCATTGTACACAAACCAGAAAATATTTTAAATTGCATCCTAATATAGTAAATATGAAAATTTTTAAACTGAATGGTTAGTAATTTACTAGAGATTATTTTAAACTATAGTTTTATACTTCAATACAAGTTGCAAATGATGGAAGGTAAAATGCTTCATGATTCATTTTCCAGCTATGTAAAGAAGAGGAAGTTTAAACCAAGTTTTTTCTCGAGTCAAAAAGGTTTATATTGTAATTCTGAATCCTGGCTTAATACTAGTGCAATACACCTTAAATTAAGATCTGTTCAATTTGAAATATTTCCAGGAATATTTTCAGAACTGTTGATTTAAAATCTGTATGTCTTTCTCCTAATTATATTTAAGAGTCTTATTTCATTACAGTACAATATGTATTTTTGTCTTGCATGCAGATGAAATAGCTGTTTAGGCACTGCTAAGTATCCATTTCTATTTTTTACAACATCATTCCATCCAAGTAATATTTAAACTTTTACAGTGTTTCATCTCTTGTTATACAATGCTTTACCATTTTCCTATATATTAGGAATCTTGACTTCTGTTTTTTTCCATTTTGAAAAAAAAAGGTGCAGATACAACCCCATTTGCTGTACAAGCAGAAGTCACGCTGAGAACAAATTTTTTTGCAACCATGAATGCTTGCACAGAACTTCTGCCACTATTGAAACCTAATGGTAAGCACACAATGGGGGTGGAGTATGTTAAAGATTAATCGAGGTTTTTGACAAGTAAAATGCCAAAATAAACACTAACAGAAAAACACATATGATCAACTCTTCCTTAAGATCAGCTTTTAAATTCAGTAACTGTCCATGTTTAAGTCATAGTGCTTCTAGGAATTTCAGATTATAGTTTATATCTCTGATACTAATCTCATTGAAATGAATGGGAATTATTTCCAACTAAATCTGTTTAGTTTTTTAAATGGACTTTGAACTGAACTGCTTTTAATCAGTCTTATGCTGAATTTTCTTCTGCTTTATAATACTGAATTATTTCTAATCATTTAAATTATATATATATATATATATATATATATATATATATATATATATATATATATATATATATATATATATATATATATATGATATCTAAGTTAGATGATAAAGTATACATGCTTCTGCCCTACAGAAAAATCTCTAGGATTCATTTCAATGGAAATTGAGAACTCCAGTTTATCCTAAACTTGGGTTGTCAATTTCTGTTGAAATGAATGTTGGAGATTTTTTTTCCTCCAATAATCATTTCCAGGTAATATGTGGTTTAGCTAGCTTTCATAGCTTGGCAGAAGTAGCAGTTACAGGGCAAAACAATCAAGATTATTGCTTGATTAAAATTGTCTACAAAATAAACCAGTCCATTTGGAAAGCTGAGTCCATTTGAATATAGATGACAAGCATTCTCTATCACACATGCATTTACAGCTACAATGAAAATCTAAAGTCAGTACCCATGAATATATGCATGTTTACATTTATGTAAGCCTGTTTATTCAGCATTATTCATTTTCCAGCATTTATTGAAGAAAGACTCTGTCTATGGCAGCTCTTCACCAATTGAACATTCCAATATTTCAGGATTCTCAGACCCATAAAGAGCATCCACAAGTAGAAAAAGCTGGCCCCACACTATCTATCTGGAGTATACAAAATGGGATGGCAGAGCTAACTGATTCACTGATAATTATTGAGAGAATAAAGCCTCCTTTTTTGTGGGTACATATATTGTTACAAAAAGAATAAAATTGAAAAAAATAATTTATCCTGTGATTTTTTAAAAAAAAAATTATTTTTTTTTGTCTTGGAATAGGGAGGGTAGTCAATGTATCCAGCATGGTTTCAGTTTCAGCATTGTCCAAATGTAACCAGAATCTGCAGGAGAAATTTCGGAGTGACACAATCACTGAAGAAGAGCTAGTGAAACTCATGGAAAAATTTGTGGAAGATACCAAGAAGGGAGTGCATGAGAAGGAAGGCTGGCCAAGTACTGCTTATGGAGTATCCAAAATTGGAGTGACAGTTTTATCAAGAATTCAGGCAAAGCTATTGAATGAGACAAGAAAAAATGATGGTATTCTCCTGAATGCTTGTTGTCCTGGGTGGGTCAGAACAGATATGGCAGGTTCCAGAGCCACAAAAAGTCCAGATGAGGGAGCTGAGACTCCAGTTTATTTAGCGCTTTTATCTCCTGGTGCTACTGAGCCCCATGGCCAATTTGTTAGTGAAAAGAAAGTTCAGAAATGGTAACTATGCTCTTGCATTAGGCTGTATATAAGAACTGGAAGTTATAGATGCTACAAAAATCTTTGCTACAGGTATCTCCTCTAGCAATTGTGCCAAGCTCCTATGCCATGGAGGTGAGAACCAACATACAGCGGATTGAAGTAAAAAGCATCCAGTTGCTTAGTGAGATCACTGTTTAATCTTCTGCTGAGGGTGACAATTAGTGCTGCATCTTAGTAACAGGCTTTGGGATTCTCACTCTTCTCTAAATTTGGGTAGCTTTTCAATATTGGCTTCGAAGATAATTCACTCCAAAGATTTATAAAGCACATATGCATAATTTTTTCTTTCAATAAAGATCATTTTTGGTAATGTATTAACTGTCATCTTGAAAATAAATCTTGACTATATAAAACAGTAAATAAAGTTCATGATTAATAATTTGACAGCTATTTATGATTTCAGTACAAATACATTTTCACCCCATTAATCACAATAATCACAACTATTGGAAGTGTTCTTTCCTAGATTCAATGGGCAGTGTATATTTGTGTGGGGTATTTTTAAGCAGAGATAGGGATCTCTGGTTTTCCAGTATAGATGAACAGCAGCACCAACAGCAGTATAAGTGTGACAAATAGTGAGGGACTGTGAGAATCTAATGCAGCAAAATCTGAAGAATTGCTTGCCATCCTACCTCTAAAGTAGGAAAATTCAAATGTGAAATATTTGCACATTGTACAGAAAGTATAGTATATACACCTTCTCTCCCATCATTTATATGGATAAAATGCAATAGTAATAGGCCAATCTTGTATGATTTAAATAGTTCTAAAAATATTGATGTGTTACTTAACATTCAAGAAATGTTATTACAATAGGCATTTACATATTATTGGGTACATATATACCCAAACACAAAATTTATAATAAAAAGATTAGACAATAAGGCTCCCCCCCTTTTTAAGGGAACCTATATGAGTCCAGAAAGATATAAAAATGTTAATAGCAGAAAGTTGTTTTTCTTGTTTTAAGTAAATAAAAATATTAAAATGGCATATAAATATAATTCAGAATTTGGTCAGTTTATTTAAATAGTGGTGATCTGAAGAATAGAAAGATAAAGTAAGGTAAGGCTTAGTTTATATGTATTATATACAAAGTTGCTTCTTCGGTTATACTATGTGTAACAACTTTCTTTGAATCCATAATTTAACAAAATGTGAGAGGCACTTGATAAACATACCTTGTGCGAGACCCTACATAAAAGTTGTCACTAGTGTGAGTCAGACTTGTCACCTAAAGCTCCCTCAGTGCAAAAATACTTCTCATTTGTTCCTTTGAACATAGAAATACAGATAGTTCTTGAACAGCTAGATATTTAAGCCAAATAACCATTCCCAAATCCAGAAGGGCAGTAATTCTGGCTAGACTGAATGCCTGTCCAACAGCTACTTTGAAGGGAAATTATGGAAATCCCAGCTGAACAAAGACTTTGCCCTGTGGTAAAGGAGTTATTGAAATATTAACCCACGTTTGTTACTTTGCCCTTATTCTAAAAATGCTTAGTTCCGCATTAAACTCTCAAGCTGTGTAGATCCATTTTATTTAGTTGTTACTGTCTGATTAATGTGACTTTATTTCTCTGACCATGGCTATGATTTGTGTTGCTATTGGTAAAAATATCAGTCTAACCACACAAGTTTTATCATCATTAAATTTTATTATGATTTTTATTTGTTGTCTCAGAATTTTTCTTTTTGCTTTGGAATTTGTTAATGATGTAATATGGTTTGCTTGCTACTATGAGTGTGGACTTAGGAATCCCATCAAGGCAGGGAGCTTATTAAATTACAGATTACCGCTATGTTCTCTGAAAGATTGCAATCAATTATTCCAGATTTTAAAAAGAAAAAAATACCTTCAGTTATCAATGTTTGTATCAGTAATTCATGAAAAATGTTGATAATGGAAATTCACACAAGTATAATATGACCCAGCATAATAAAACACTAGACTAGAACCAGGCTACTTTAATAATATTGAGGTAGTTGTTTATCCACAGCCTACAGAAAAGTTCATTGTGGTTTAACAAAGAGAAAAACATTCCTGTCCAGCCATTCTATGTATTATATTTAAATATATGGTTCTAAAGTCTAAACTGAAAAATGGTAAGACTCCTAGATGAGGAAGTGCCATACTGAATTTACAATACACATCATGTCAAAGGTGCTTTTTCAAAAGGCAACTAGACTCTTTTTTCCTTGAGGAAAATGTTTTGGTTCTCATCCAAGAAGCTTCATTGCTTCAGATGAAACATCTTCCTCAAGGAAAAAAACAGTCCAGATGCCTTTTGAAATAGCACCTTCAAGACAACTGGATGACTGAGAATCTCCACAAACATACAGCACACATCTATAAACAGTGAGATGTTCATGTGCTGTATTCAATCATGTTTCCTTTGGGAGGTAGTGTATAGATATCTATAGGGCTTTTTTGTCATAGAACGCCAGAACGGAGTTCCGGCACTTTTTTTGGGATGGAACCTTGTAGGGTAGGCAAGGCGGGTTGTATGATGTGTGTGAGTTCCGGCACCTCTTTTTTTTTTTTTTTTACAAAAAAAGCACTGGATATCTCTAAGCATTTTTAATATTTTACAGTATTTACAAATATACAGATTGAATATTTCACTGCTTATACTCCAGCTTTAATAACTATTTCTACATCAGAAATGAAATCCCAAATGCTATTAAATTATTTACCTATCTTCAACTTTGAGTATAAAGTGCAAGCAATAAAGCTTTACTAAACACTATGGACATATAAATTGTACATCGACATACACAGGATTGTACTGGGTGGATTGAAATGACTGGGGATAGGAGATCCTGCAGATGACCAGTACTTATGCCATAAAGGACATTATAGGTGACAACCAGCATTTTTCATTTCATCCAGAAGCTGACTAGCAATCAGTATAACTACATGGTGCTGCCCTATAGCAGCTTTTGGATGATCTTCAAGGGCAGCACCATGTAGAGCAGGGGTATCAAACTCAATTTCACTGAGGGCCGCATCAGCATTGCGGTTGCCCTTGGGGGGCTGGGTGGGTGTGGCCAGAGTGGATGCAGCCTACTGGGTGGGTGTGGATGGAGTGGGGGTGGCCTACTGGATGGGGGTGGCCAGTTCTACATTCGCGTCAAGGGTGCCTGTGGGGGCCTGGGCAGGAGTGGGACAGATCTGAGGGTCTCTGGCAGAAGGGTGTGGGACTGGGGCAAGTGCCAAGATGGCCACCACAAAATTGTACATTGGCTCCCGGCTGGCCTGGGCCAGGGCCAAGGCAGCGGGGGCCATTCCCTCACTGTTTCCAGGATGGCTTCGTGGGCCACATGAAACCACTTCACGGGCTGCATCCGGCCCCCGGGCCTTGTGTTTGACATGTCTGATGTAGAGTGTATTGCAGTATTCCAGTCATAAGGTAATCAAGGTATTAATGACCATTTGAAGGGTGTCCCAGTTAAGGAAAGGGCACAACTGGTGTACAATATGATCCTCCTGGCCACAGCTGCCACTTGCTAATTAAGCAGTAGCTGTGAATCCAAGAGGACTCCCAGTTTGCACACCTGCGTTGGAGAAATGCAATCTTATCTAAGACCAACTGTGAAAATGGCACACAGCCAGACCCACCAAGTCTTATCAGCATTGAGCCAAAATCTGTTCCTTTTTAGGCAGCCTCTCTGGAGTTAGTACATTGATAGATATAGAGGTAGACATAGATAGCAATTTTATAATAAGCTATATATTTTATATTTTAATTCCTAGTAGACCCTCGAGTACTTTAGTAGGGTGGAGCAAAAATAAGTAATAACTTTTCAGACCTCCAGAATTTTGTTTCTTTTATTTTTTAGAATCAAGGAATATATATATAGAACATTATAAAAACATATTCATAGTATGAGTATACCAGTAGGTTATATCATAAAAAACCCCATATATTCCTATATTTCAAAAAATCATCTATTGTACTCAGAATTATTCCAAATATCCTGCCACCACAAGAATCTAACACAAGTTCTTTTGTATTCAGAAGAGAACAAATATGCTCCCCGAATATATTCCAGAGACTACAATTAACACACTGTTCACAGTATATGCTAATTGTTGGGGGGGGAATCAACATTTTTCTGTCCTTGTCTGCAACATAATTGTTGCTATTTATACAACAGTTTTTCAGTGGTGGGATTCAAATATGTGAACAACCGGTTCTCTGTGTGGATGCCGCTTCCGGAAGTCCATTCTGGGCCTGGGCAACAAAACACTAGCTACAGGTTCTGCTGAACTGGTGCGAACTGGCTGAATCCCACCACTGGTTTATTATTGATTTTAATATCTCTGTATAAAACTTATGGCATCCAACTTCAAATAAGTCTGGGCGGCTTACTTTTTTTTAAAAAAAGTAGGAGAAATAAATACAAAAAAGAAAGAGAACGCAAAGTGTAACGTTTCTGTCGCTGTTCAATGTGTCATAAGACCAGAAGTAGAGCAGCTGTGTTTAAAGCAGCGGTTCTCAACCTATGGGTCGCGACCCCATTTGGGGTCGATCGACCATTTCATGGGGGTCGCCAAGCAAGGCTGTCCACCATTTTTTCCCCCTTTTCCGGCGGGTGCCTTACCTCCCTTGAGCTGGGCCAGCTGGTGGTCGGCCTGCTCCGTCTCTGCCGCTTGCCAGCTACGCCTCGGCCGGCACAGGGGGCGGAACCACGCATGCGCGGCACTCCCGGGCAGGGAAAGTCCTCGACTTACAACCGGTTGGGTAGTCCTCGACTTACGACCGGTTTAGTCCTCGACTTACGACCGGTTTAGTCCTCGACTTACGACCGGTTGGGGGTCGCGGGATTAAAAAGGTTGAGAACCACTGGTTTAGAGACACCTATTTAAAATTTTACACGTCGATACTATCAACTTCACCCAGGGCTTTTTTTGTCATGCAACGCCCAGAACGGAGTTCCGGCACCTTTTTGGGATGGAACCTTGTAGGGTAGGCAAGGCGGGTTGTATGACGTGTGTGAGTTCCCGCACCTTTTTTTTTATTATTACAAAAAAAGCACTGACCTCGCCTATCGAGATCTGACTTCAAAAACTACCGCAGTTCTACCACAACAGCTCTCCGCAGTCTCCTATTCCAACAGTAGATGGCAACCTAACAAAAGCCCAGAGACCCGCTTTACGAATGTACCATCTTTCCGGGGGGGGGGNGGGGGGGGGGTCGGCGTGTCTTCGCGGCCGAGTGCAGGCGAGTGAGTCTTCGCATCATTAAATTAGGAATAGGAACGATACACGTATAACAGACTTCCTCACGACCTTTCAAAGATAACGGTGGCCACCACCTTTTCCGCCTCTCCGTGGCCCCTCCTAAAAAATGGTACTTGCCCAACCTGGCCGCGGAAGAGAGAAAGAGAAGCGTGACGTCCCCAACCAAATTCGGCCACCCTTGCGACGCGCTGTTCCGTACCGTACTCCGCTTTTTCCTCTTCCACCTCCTCCTCCTCCTGCTGCTCCCTCCCACTTACTGTATTTTCCGACTGTTGCCTCAGTCCCGCCCAGCCGTGGGACACGTCGCCCCTGCAAAGAGGAATAGCTGTAGAAAGGGAAACTACGGCGGCAACCCTTTTTGGACGGTGAGTCGGGAAGAAAGCTGGGCAGTTGCAAAAGGTGCTGTATTTGCTCCTCTTCCTTTTTCTGAAAGGCCGTCTGCGAGATTTATTTAGCGTGGTGAGAGACGGGACTCTTCCCCCCCTCGCGTTCTTTTTCACGCGGAGAGCCCTTTTCCCCAGCGAGCAAACCCCCTCTTCTCGTTCTGGGAAAATACGTCGCCCTCGTTTCGAAGCGTTACTTCCCCTTATGGGAGCAGATGTTATCTCAACCCTTGCCAGATGCTCCAAAAGACGAAACAAATGGGCGAGGAAGGAGATCTTTTCCCTTTTCTAAACCTGAGCTCCAAAATCGTCCAAGGTTGTTGCAACCCATATGTATAAACCCTTCCCTTTCTTGCCTTTTGTTGTTTGGAGACACGGGTTGGTGCGTCCGGTGGTTCCGAGATTATACAGTATGCCTCCTGACCTACCTGCTGTTTGTGGTCGGTTTGTCTATGTAACAGCTGTTGGGTTTTGTTTGCTTTGTAGTTAGCAGCAGCCTGTCAACAGCGAGGAGAGGAAAGCTCTTATTGCATAATGAGAGCATTGTTGTTGTTTTTTTATCTCCTTTGCCTTATGTACACACCATTGTTAGCTGCATAATTTATTTTGAAAACCTATTGGAAATGTTGGAGTTGTTTGAAGGAAAAAAAAAACTCCAAACGTCCATTAAGCCAGCTCTTTGGAAGATGTGATTTCTTCAGGGCAATGGATCACTGTTTCCTGGGTGTAAGCAAAATGGACTAAAGTGGGCAAAGAAAATAAAATATATTGCAATACCATTTAGATGTTAAAGTATTGATCAGCTGTTATTCATGAAATAGCACTTCTGTCCTTCAACCAAAACTTCTATTTTAAATGTTGTTGCGAAGTCGTGTCCAACCCATGGACAACGTTCCTCCAGGCCTTCCTGTCCTCTACCATCTTCTGGAGTCCATTTAAGTTCACACCTACTGCTTCAGTGACTCCATCCAGCCACCTCATTCTCTGCCATCCCCTTCTTCTATTGCCCTCAATCTTTCCCAGCATTAAGCTCTTCTCCAGTGAGTCCTTCCTTCTCATTAGGTGGCCAAAGTACTTGAGTTTCAACTTCAAGATCTGGCCTTCTAAAGAGCAGTCAGGGTTGATCTCCTCTAGGACTGACCGGTTTGATCGCCTTGCAGTCCAGGGGACTCGCAGGAGTCTTCTCCAGTACCATAGTTCAAAGGCCTCAATTCTTTTGCGCTCAGCCTTTCTTATGGTCCAATTTTCACAGCCATACATTGCAACTGGGAAAACCACGGCCTTGACTATACGTACTTTTGTTGGCAGGATGATGTCTCTGCTTTCTATTTTAAATACAGCATTCTATATCTTTTAAAAAAAGTTCATAGTAATCTTGCATTTCTTGCTAGTTTTTGGCATCATTAGATAACCAAATCCAAGATTGTTGCATAAGTAGTAGGATGGACAAGCTGGAAATAATTTGTTTTTCCATCCGTCACACAAAACAAATGGCCCTGGGCAATTTGCATCAATTCTCCAATTAAGTATTTTAATTGTCATGAAAATCAAAGAATGCTACCACTTGTGGCTTTTCGTGTTATACTGGTAGTCTTCATCTGCTAAAGGAGAATGTTAATTTTGGGGTATCTATTTAAAATTTAATCTTGCAGTAGGTGAGTTATGTTGCAAATAAATAGGGTAATATCATCCTCAACTGTTCAAAGTTATAGGGTGCTGAAAAAGAGACTTTTGACCTGTCTTCACAGTTAGACAATTGCAGCATCCCTACGGCCACTTGGCCTGGGTACTTGGCAACCAGAGGTTTGTGGCATCTTAGGGTCACATGATCACCATTTGCAACACTCCCAGTGGGTTTCTGACAAAGTCAATGGGGTAAACCAGATTGCTTAGTGACCACATGATTCGTTTAACAACCATGGCAACAAGGGTGCAAATTCAGGCACAATCATATGATGACTTACTTAATGACCACATCACTTAGCAACAGAAGTGCCAGTCCAATTGTGGTCATAGGTTTTCTGCTGTGGTCGCCACCATCATGTGAGATCCACTCCCATACTTCTGGACTTGCAGAAGAACCTCAGAATTTGGGTCTGCCACTTGGCCTGTTACATTGGGCGTGACTAAGAAGATTCTTACCTCCCAGGCTGCCCATCATCTTGCTTTTAATTTTAAATTTTTTATTCTTAATTTTAATTGTGTTTAGCACTTTTTAACTTTTTATATTGTAAGCCACCCAGAGTCACTGTATTAGTGAGATGGGCAGCATAGAAATTTAATAAATAAATTGTGGACTACCTATATTTACCAAGTATGTAGAGCTTCATTTTTTTATTATGCAAGAAACGATCAATATAATAAAGTAAACCTATCATATATTTATAATAGCAGGATACCAATCTACAGTAAATTAAAGGCAGGCTCCAACATTGTTTCTCAATTTTTTCTGCTGTTAGGGTTTGTTCATGAGTACATGATCCTGCTTCAAGGAAAGTGTTAGGCCTGTAGTTGATCTCTATTTCTAAAGGTATACCTCCAGTTTCAGAAGTAAAACTTTTGAAAAGCTATGCAAGGATTACAGTTGAGCAATTAAAATATGAACATTACTTATTCCATATATTAAATTTCATGTGGCAAAAAATAAATTATGTCAAAGTGACAGAATGCTAGACTTAAATGTGAGATGTATATATTCACATATTGAGTTAAGTACATGATATTTTCCTTTAGTCGTCCCTACTATATAATCCCTATTACAGTGGTAATGCTACAGATTGAGCAAAAGATCCAAATCAGGATATTGCGTGGCTTCTAGCAATGCTGAAATGAAAAAATGATTTAAGATTATGCAAGTAGTAACACAACTGATAGAAATTGATACTTTGATATTATTGCTAGTCTGTTTTTTATATTGCTAGGAAAATACATATTTTATATGTAAAAAAATTCAGATGGTATTTTATAGAAATAGATGAAGAGTATATGTCACATTAGTATGTACTAGTTTATTATAGCCATCCCACTTCAAAAGGCTCTGAAATCTTTGAAATCATAACTGTTTTATTATCTATATCATTTCTATCTCTGCTGTATTCTGAGCCATGGTAATGATAGTGATAGCAGTTGCTATGTAAAAATTTACCTCATCATTCCATAATGGTTAGTGTGTTTAATAATAATATTGTACAATTGCAATGTGAGAACTGCTAATAAAAATAATTATCAAAAGAACAATCACTTATATCAAAAGCAGATAAAAACTGCATTAAAAATCCATAGCACATGAATATGTCATCTCAACAAGATAAAGTGCTTGACCAAGCAGGATTGCCAATAGAAAAGAACAGATTTGACCAGCTTTTCTCATATCCTGAATTATTAATAGAAATTCAGTACTTGGATGAATATTCTTTGATTTTCTGACAGGCAGAGAAAGAACACCCTTTAGAACAGAATAGAGCTGGAAGGGACCTTGGAGGTCTTCTAGTCCAACCCCCTGCTCAAGCAGGAGGACCTATATCATCTCAGACAAGTGACTGTCTAGTCTCTTCTTAAAAATCTCCAGTGATGGAGCGCCCACGATTTCTGGAGGCAAGCTGTTCCACTGGTTAATTGTCCTCACTGTCAGGAAGTTTCTCAGTTCTAGGTTGCTTCTCTCTTTGATCAGTTTCCAACCATTATTTCTTGTCCTGCTCTCTGGTGCTTTGGTGAATAACGTGACCCCCTCTTCTTGGTGGCAGCCCCTCAAGTACTGGAATACTGTATCATGTCTCTCCTATTTCTTCTTTTCTTTAGACTAGCCAAACCCAAGTCCTGCAGCCGTTCTTCGTATGTTTTAGTCTCCAAGCCTTTAATCATCTTAGTTACTCTTCTCTGAATTTTTTCCAAACTCTCAATATCTTTTTTGTAATATGGTGACCAAAATTGGCTGCAGTATTCCAGGTGTGGTCTTACTAGGGTTTTATAAAACAGTACTAATACTTCCGTGATTTTGATTCTATGCTCCTGTTTATACAACCCAGAATTTTATTAGCTTTTTTGGCTGCTGCTGCACACTGCTGGCTCATAGTCAAGTGATTGTCCACTAGGACTCCAAGGTCCCTGTCACAGTTACTGTTTTTAAGCCAGGTCTCGCCCAATCTGTACTTGTACCTTTGATTTTTCCTGCCTAAATGTAAAACTTTGTTTTTCTCAACATTGAAACTCATTTTGTTGGATAGGGTCAGTGGTGGGATTCAGCTGGTTCACACCACTTTGGCAGAACCGATAGCTAATTTTTTGTTGTCCAGGCCCAGAATGGACTTCCAGAAGCAGCATCCACATAGAGAACCGGTTGTTCACATATTTGAATCCCACCACTGGATAGGGCCCATTGTTCAAGTTTGTCAAGATCTTTTTGGACCCTGAGTTTGTCTTCTGGGGTGTTGGTATTCCTGCCAGTTTGGTGTCATCTGCAAATTTGATGAGTTCCCCTTCAATTCCCTAATCTAAGTCATTGATGAAGATATTTAAGAGTACTGGGCCTAAGACGGAACCTTGTGGTACCCCACTGCTTACTTCTCTCCATGTGGATGTAGTGCCTGAGGACTATTCATTGAGTACGGTTTGCCAGCCAGCTACAGATCCACCTGGTGGTGATGTTGTCTATTCCATCTTTTTCTAGCTTACCAAGGAGTAGGTTGTGGTCTACTTTATCAAATATCTTACTGAAATCTAAGTATACTTACGTCCACAGCGTTTCACTGGGCTACTAGTTTAGTCACTTTATCAAAAAATGAAATAAGATTGGTTTGGCTTGATCTGTTTTTAACAAACCTGTGCTGGTTACTAGTTATATAACTTTGTTTACTTCTAGTTGTTCGCAGATCTGTTTTTTGATTATCTTTTCTAGGATCTTCCCAGGTATTAATGTTAAACTGATTGGTCTGTAGTTTCCTGGGTCCGTTTTTTCCCTTTCTTGAAGATGGGAACCACATCAGTCCTTTTCCAATCCTCAGGTACTTCCCCAGTGCTCCAGGATTTATGAAAGATGTGGTGCCATGGTTCTGAGATAACATCTGCCAGCTCCTTCAGAACTCTGGGATGTAATCTGTCGGGTCCCGGTGATTTATATTCGTCAATTTCCTGAAGAACATATTAGAAAAGCTACCCCTTCAACAAATTTCATTCCAGAATTTGGTCTGGAAATCAACTAGCAACCAATGAAATTGTTATAACAAGAGAGCAGTATGTAATAAATAATTTGCCTATAATTGTCTGAATTCATAGTTTTTGAAATTATCCAGATATATAACACATTGTTGCAATCGATTGATATCACCAAATCTACGTATTCCATTTTTTTTTTTTACAAAAGCACGGGCAAACTATAAATGTGTTTTCAGTTTGATTAACCCAGTCAATCACTTCAATTGCTTTCCCTCTTCTAATCAAATCTCAGTGCCAGGCTCACTAGAAGATGACCATAATTCATTCATGCTATGAAAAGAAATAAGAGGTTCTCGCTGATACATTGTATTGATTTATAATGTATTTTCCTAAAAATCACATGAAAAAGGTGTAAATGATACTTTCTTAAGTAATTACATGCTGTACTCTCTTAATCTAAGAAATCGGCTTCTGGTGTTGACATTTCATGGGATTTTCTTTAAGTTAATCATTAATTTGGTTGTTAATGCAGGAAGAAAATGTTTAATGATTCATGAAATAAAATACATTCAGTTTAGTGAAAATTAGTTCACTAAAATCATCTCTTTCCTCTGAATATTTACAAAAATGAAGCATAGCTAGAAAATAAAATATGCATTTATTTATATAAACATGTCTTCATATGAAAATAAAGTGAACAATATTTACATATATTGAGTATTGTGAATATTGAACTACAGTATACCAAAGCTATGGTTCTTGCATGTTTTTTTGTAAAGTTTAGCCTTTTATGCTGATCGTAAGTTCATTATTTTAATTTCAATTATCTGTTTTTATTTAAAATATTTACATATATCTATAAGAAATAAACTTATCAAAGTTTTGTTTTTAGTTCCTCAGAGCATTTTGATATGATCGTTTAAAATGGATCCAGAAGAGCAGGAGTTGCTTGGCGATTATAGATATAGAAATTATTCCTCAGCAATTGATAAAGCTTTGAGGAACTTTGAATCTTCAAGTGAATGGGCAGATCTCATATCTTCTCTTGGGAAACTCAACAAGGTGTTGTATCTATCTTTTTTAATTATTTACAAGGTTTTTTCTAATAAGATGTTAAGAAGGTAGCAATATCATCTGTCTAAGGTACTTTTAATGAATGAAGTCTGGATAGTACAATATTTTCCTAATAGTAATGAATGGCTGTGAGAATTGGACCATAAGGAAGGCTAAAAGCCCAAAAAAATCACATTTTCTAATTCTGGTATTGGACTTCAAGGAGATCAGATCAATCAGTCCTAAAGGAAATCAACTCCGACTGTTCTTTGGAAGGATAGATACTAAAGCTGAAGCACAAATACTTTGGCCAACTAATGAGAGGAGTCATTGGAAAAAACTCAGAAGAAGGAGATGGCAGAGGATGAGATAGTTACATAGTGTCATCAACATGAGGAATATGAATTTGGGCAAACTCCAAGAAACAGTGAGGACAGGGGGGCCTGGTGTTCTGTGGCCTGTGGGGTCTCAAAGAGTCGGACATGACTTAGCAACTGAACAAGTACAATATTAAAAATCTACAATAAAATATCTCTTATAATTCATAATAATAATATAGAGGCTACTAATTCTTCAACTAGTTTAAAACCATTAAAAACATTCACAAAAATCAGATCCCAACTTTCTCTGTATTAGATTATTTCAAATACAATGGAGGAATATTTTTCAAATACTTGAAAATCTTTTTGTCTGTAGGAAGTCACATGTGCATAAGAGAATGAAGTCTAAAAAAAGAATAAAGTTTACCAGTCGTAAATGTTATTACTAGGATATTGGGAAATTATTGGTTTTTACTGTGTATATTTGGGTGGTCCTTTCAAGTACTAAGTACGGTGAGGCTAAAGGCAGAACTCTTGTGTTTCTACCTCTCTGGCCAATATTGGCTATACTCATTTAAACATCTTTTGATTTCTTCAATATTCTTAGGTTACACATAGACATCATATTTATATTTATTTCAGATTTCATTGTTTCATTATCATAAAATAATTCACTGTATATTTTCTATATGTGTTTTTTTTCTTACAATGTAATTGCAATTCTAAGAATGAAGCTTTCTTATAAACTGTATGACTATTTTCTTTTCCAAATTATATTTATATTTGTTAGTGTTGCTGGCAAAAGAAATTCCCGAGGGAGATACTTCATATGGGGTTGTAATTAATTCTATTGGTTTCTTTAGAAAATTAACAAGTCTAGGTGAATGTGGTGCCCAGGTATAATGACAAGTTTAAAAATGTATGGTCTCTTTGTACTTTTTTATATCAATATCACTCATAAATATTTTAATACTTGCTTGACTGGAAAATAGAATCATTATTTTAGTAACTATTAAAACAGAGCTCTGTAAAATGGCTGTTTATATATATATAATAGTTTCAGTGCAGTGTTTCCTACCCCTGCAGAGAAAGAAAACAACATATTTTTTATGTCTTAGCCAGCCAGTTGTGTTTGTGTTTTTTAAAACTTTTCTCAACCCATCCCGCCCCTTTCAGATATGTGAAAGCTATTTTCTGTAGGTCATTATGATACTTGAAAAGTGTTCATCAGACAGGTAAGGATTCTTGACAGTTGCAGTATTTGTTCTTGCTGCTTTATTTGACAAAAGTTATTATTTTGAAGACCACATAATTGGTTTAGGAATTTAATCTGGTGAAGTGTTATATTAAATAATAAATGTAGAGATTGTCAAAACACCTATGGGTTTTGTAATCAGTTTTTATAAAGATCTCTGGAACTCTGTTAAGAAAAATCTCTGCATTTTAATTCTCTTAAATAAAAACATTACTACAATTTTGTTCCTAATTAATATCAATTTAAATTTAATATGTAATCCTTACTTAATTATTTTACAGGCTCTTCAAAGTAATTTGAAGTATTCCCTTTTACCAAGACGCTTGATTATCAGCAAAAGATTGTCCCAGTGTTTACACCCAGCCTTACCTAGTGGAGTGCATATAAAAGCACTGGAATCCTATGAAGTAATATTTAAAATTATTGGAACAAAATGGCTTGCAAAGGACTTATTTCTCTACAGGTAGTGTAAATTGCTTTTAGGAATCTTTATTAATAGAGTGCAAGGTTCAACCATGCTTAGCATGAAGGAATATAGCATAGCTTTAGAATGCAAACACCAATTGCCTGCCTGCCTGCCTTCCTTCCTTCCTTCCTTCCTTCCTTCAGCTTTGGCTATTTAGAAAACACCAGATCTCTTTTAATTATAGCTTTGTTTGAATTTTAATTATGGTTAATATTAACTATGAGCTTGATGAAAAAGGCCAACTTAATCAACTATAGTGGACTAGTTTTGAGAAATAACACTTATAAACAATCATAAATTCTCTGGGTTTGTGGATAAGAACATTTTGTAATTAAAATATATCTATGTGTATGTATGTATGTCTGTCTGTCTGTCTATCTATCTATCTATCTATCTATCTATCTATCTACCTACCTACCTACCTATCTATCTATCCATCTATCATATTGTATATATTTTAATTACAAAACTTCCAGTATTTTCAAAAGGGGGAGGGCAGATTCATTGCAACTTGTGCTCATAATAGGTTTATAATTCAACATCCAAGATAACACAGGCAGAGATTGAATTTTCCCTATCCTTCTCTGTGTCTCCCCAGCTCAGGCCTTTTTCCATTGCTTGGAGTTGCAGCACTGTCAGTGAAACCCGTCTTGCTCGATTTGTATGAAAATTATTTTCTCCCACTCCACAAATCTCTCCTGCCCAGTCTTCAGGCCTTCTTAATTGGCCTTTTGCCTGGTTTGGAGGAAGGGTCAGAATTCTATGACAGGTAAGATATTTCTTTCACATAAAAAAGTAAAATAATAAATACATTTTAACTCTCTTTTCATTCCATACCTATAGTGGGCATCAGTTGAGGGGAAGATCAGCCGCCAAAAGTAAAACCCAGAATGCAGTTCTGCATACTCTTCTTTTATTTGGTCAGGGCCGTGTATTAAGCAGAAGCTTCAGTGCAGACAATCAGGTTTTTCTTGGTACTCGCTAGAAGAAAATTCTTGGTAGATGTCTTTCCATTAGAAAAGTTTTGGTCCAAACCAGAAAACTTTTTTTATCATTCTCAATCAAGTATTTTATATTTCAGAGCTTATACTCTGCCTTTCTGAAGGAAAAAAAAACCCGAGCAAAAAAGTTAAACGTTGTGCAAGGTAACATATGCAACAGACCATAAATTGCAGTCAAGATGAAGAAAAATTCAAAACGGAACAGTAATACAGTAATCTGTATTCACACCATGGTTTATAATCCAGAGTGGCTAGATTCATTCAATATGCTAACTCAACATCAAGCAAGCTATGACTGATAAATTAAAAGCTTAAATACATACTTCACTCAGCAAAAAACAAACAAACCCTTCAATAGATTAAGATTCAGTTCTGTTCTATGTAACTTTTCATATAAATAATAGTTTAGGAGTTAAAACCCAATAGTAGAAACAGACCAGTAGATCCAAATATTGATGATTGTTCAACCTAAATCTAAGATTGCTTCACCTTCAAGGTTCATGATGTTGTTGAGTAGTTTAGAAGAACAGTCCCCAATCTTTCTAGCTTGGCGGCCCATACGAGCAGAGAGTGCTGTACTCGTGTGAACGGAGAGTGTTCGTACACAAAATGAATGGAGCATCGCATGCAATACCCTCTGCTCGCGCAAGTGGATCTTCCTGGGTACATGTTTGCCCATTGCTCACACGGCCCAGTTTTGAACAGACCGTGGCCCAGTAGGCCATGGTCTGGTGTTGGGGACCCCTGGTTTAGAGAACAAAATGGAAGCCTGTGGATTTAGGTATAAAGCAAAGAGATTATTAATTATCTCCCTCCCTTGGAACAAGAATAATTTAATTTACACAATTTCTATCACATAATAACATGGTCAATAACACTAAAGAACTTTTAAAAGATCCCAAAAAACTAAAAAAGTTATTATTCCCCACCTGACCAGACCTCATCCTATAAATCCATAATCACCCTGGCCATTTCAGATAGTTTCCATTATAATAGTAGGCTGAAAACAAGACTTATAAAGATCTACCTCATTGAGATGAAATGTCTGTTTTCAAAGTTCTCAGAAAATTCTTATTTTAGCTTTTACTGGTGTACTTTTCTGTGTAAGGAACTTATAAATCAATGTTAGATTTGAAGTGAAAGCCTATATCTTCAGTGTGGAGCCGCTGTCGTTTGGAAATCTCTTTCCTTTTTTCTAACGAATTTTTCTATTTTCTAAACATTGGCAAAAAAAAAATACATTATTTAATATGTATAGTATAATTTTCAAAATCAGCTTGTAACAAATTAATTTGCTTTAATTTTGTAACTACATAATTTCTTTTCTTGCTTTACAGGACTGATGCTTTGCTTGCGAAGTTGTCCCTTGTAATTGGAAAAGAAGTGTTTTATTCTGCCTTGTGGGCCAGTGTCTTGGTTAGCCCTTCTGTAAGACTACCTGCTTCTCTTTTTGTTGTCAGTCACATCAACAGAGCAATACCTGGAAAACAGCAGAATTATATGATGGGAACTGATCCTAATCTCACAGTAGGTTAAATAACAAATAATCTTTGCTTTTATATTATAAATAAATAGTGAAGAAAAACGGAAAATTGCAGATAAAATCATACACTTTGGGAAGTAATACAACTCTCTTCAAATTGCTGCATTTTCATCATTTTCTTAGTTAACTATTAGTTGGCAGTAATATATCTATGTGTATATATCAAGGTCACTATTATGAAATGGATGGCTCTTTAAATCATATAAATAAATAATTTAAACCCTTTGAAATGTGCATTAGGAGAACATATTCTGGTAGAAGTGCTTCCTTCTTTAACTGCTTTGAAAAGAAAGCCTTTTTTTAAAGCAACTAATGCAACTGGAGGCAAATTTTCCATTTTTTCTGTGCAATGCACAGCAAATACATATTCATTAAAATTAAGTTTATTACTCAAGTTACAATTTGTATGTTCTTTCCGTAACTAATTAGTTTCCTTGACTGCATTCCATAGACGTTTGTGTAACATTTAAATGTTAATTCAGTGTTCAAGGATGCCTAAGCCTTGGTGTTTATGCAACATGGAGATTGAGAATGCATTCATATGCCCATCATACTATTCCCTTTCTGTAAGCAACATTCTCATATTCACATATTTCTCAATTATTTCTTGCAAAAACAAAATTAAAAGCTGCACATCTCCTGCCTGGCACAAAGCTGTCATTTGTTCATTATGACTTTCTGCATAAGTATGTTTTAGTAGGTATGCCTCTTGGTTTGGTGAAATTCAAGCAATAGTATGTTGCTGCTTAAGACAGTCTCTGAATTACTATTCTAGCTTGCATAGAATGAATATGATTAGGATTAGTATGAAACTTGGTTTTTGAAACTTCTAATATGTGGACAAAGGTATCCAAATTGGCTAGTACTGCTAGTTGGGAATGTGGAATGTAGCATAAGTACAACTTGGCCTATACTTTTCTTTGCTAAAGAGCGCTACGTTTACTGAAAGGAGAATGAAAATGAAAATGAGAATGCAAGTTATTGAACCATTATCAAAGAGCAGTTTGTGAAAGAGAGAATACTATAGTTTTAAGGATTCTTACCAAGCTATTTACATGAGGAACGTTTGAATGGAATTTGCCTTGAATTATGGTTGTTGCTTCAGTTTATGTTCAGAATAATGTCTCTTAGAAATTTGTCAAACATAAATTCAGAAACTTTGACTGAAGCTTTTAATCATGGCCTTTTCTAGTACAGGGCCTGCCACATATGCTTTGTGCTGCAATTGCTACATAATGCTCCAGTCCAGTAATTTACAGATGTTACCTACAAAAAACTCTTCACTGATTGCTAATACCGTATTTTCCGGTGTATAAGACGACTGGGCGTATAAGACGACCCCCAACTTTTCCAGTTAAAATATAGAGTTTGGGCTATACCACATGTGTAAAGGAATAAAATAGAATACCCGTATTTTCCGGCGTATAAGACGACTGGGCGTATAAGACGACCCCCGACTTTTGAGAAGATTTTCAGGGTTTAGAAAGTCATCTTATACACTGTAAAATACGGTAGGTTTCTATTGAGTGTAATGCAAAATGCTGTAGATTTTGACCTATAAAGTCAGATGTGGTTTGGCATCAATATACTGTATCTTCAGGACCAAAACTTCTACTTTGGATCAATCTCTCAGTACAATTATCCCAAAGTGATAATTGATAACCCCTCTTCAGAGTTCTGCCTTATTAGGAAGTGGGAATAGTCTGATACCAGGAATCAATGTTTTAATGCAGTCTCAACTTTTTTATGATTAGGAGATTGTTTGAATTTTGTAAGTATTGTTTATAAAAATTGTTCATAATGATTTATTAATTTAATTATTGCATGAGATAATTTGTTTAGATGTTACTAATTTTGATAGTTGTGGATGTGGACTGTTAATAGCATTTTATCAGGGATATTTCATAGTTTTACTTGCTAGGATGTTTAATTGTCTACTGTTATGTTACATTGTAGAACAGGCATGTCAAACTAGCGACGTCACGTGACGTCGCGCAACGTATCGGAGCTTTTTCGCCATTGCCAGTAATGGGGTGGGCAGTGATGAAACCGGCCCGCGAGCCGGTGTGATGAAACCGGCCCGCGAGCCGGCAGTTTGACACCCCTGTTGTAGAACCTTTATATGTGATTATAAACTGCCATGAGTCAGATTGGAGTTGGCAGCAAACAAATAAAATAGACAAATATATCATTGTGAGGAAATACATTAAGTGTTAAATTTTGATTGTTAACAAACTAAATCCATGCTGAATAATTTGACCTCCCCTCCTATTATATGCCAGCTCTTAAAAAAAAAGTTGCAAACATATCATTTTGTCATTGTTGAATAATTTAACATGATTCCGAGGTTAAGGTATTGTTGCACTATCTCTTTTCAATGGACATATTCCTCAAATAATTTGGGGGAGGGGGTCCACACAAAAAAAACCTGCAGCATCTTATTCTTGAATTAGCAGAGGAAAAGATTTCTCTCTTTTTTCATTCAGAATGTAAGCTAGTCAATTTTCTGATTACAGTGTGGAAAGAGATTGAAAACTAAAAACTTCTGGGTTTTAAAAATAAATTCCTCCCACACTTTTATTGTATGAAGTTCTGATCTATAGAGCAAAAGGAAATCATCAGTCTACTGGGGATTATTATATCAAATGTTATTTCACTTTTTTTCTAGATACAAGCTATTTGTCTGTCAATGCTGGATTCAAATGTTCTTGTACAAAGAAACACTTTGGAAGTGGTTCTCTTCTTCTTCCCATTATATTCCTCTTTGGTAAGCAAATTATTTTTATTCAACTATTTTTGGCCTTTTCAAAGGCAATTGGACTTTCTTGGTTTTTTTCCTTGAAAATGTTTCACTTCTGTAAATATGCACTCTTATTCAGGTGACCCAGGCGGGTATAGATAAACCCCCAAGTGGCCTCAATGAGTGCTAATGATGACCTTCAGAGTGTTAACAATCAGATGACTGCAAAAATTATAAATCCTTCTATTTCTCACCATTCAGTCATCATTGTGATGAGCACTGAAATGTTTTCAAGGTAAAAACCTTTAAAAGTCCAGTTACCCTTTGAAAAGCACTTTTGGGACATCCATGACCTGGATGATTAAATATTTATCTCCATACATATTTTTGCCTTTATTTACAAAATATCATGGAAGATTCCTGGTAAGGTTACTCCTATGTATATTTGTGTTCAGTAACCAGTTGTTTACTATTTAAGGCAAATCAAGGTAACAAGAACATACATTTGGAGAGACTTCACTGTAACAAATCATCAGGTTCTGTTGGTATCCATTTGAGATGGTTTTGATTCATTGTTACCTCCAAGTCAACAATGAGGGCAGTGATCCTCCAAAACCCAGTTGCAGAGAAATAATAGTGGGAGAGAGGCAGGTCTGGCTGTCTACTGTGAAAACAATAGATTAAAATGAATCTTGGTCCAATGTAACAAGGTAGCTTTTATTCTAAAGAATAGTTTTGTTTGGTTCTTATTTCCCAATCCCATCCACTCAGAAAATGAAAAATGAATGAAAAATATCATTCTTTTTAATGAATATATCTTATTGTTATAATGCATTTATTTTAACAACTTTTATTTTTTTATTTGTAAACTATTTCAAGATGTGACTTCATGGGAAGCAATATAGCAATATATTGGGGGTGGAAATCCATAGCTTAATAGCTTAATAAGGGCAGGTACAAAACAATAGCTTATAGGCAATTTAATATTGCCTAATACAACTCTCAACTTTTTCTTTACAGATTGTGAATTATGCACAGGAGTCATGAATTGTATGAATGATAATATTCTTAATGTGGCTGGGGTTTTACTGCCATATTATGTGGTTTGATTTTGTAACTTCTGTGCTTTAGTTTTTATTAAAAGACATGTGCTTTTAGCTGACTTGTTGGTTCTTTGTTTAGGACCAAAATGAGAGTGCTATTCCACTGTCTAGGTCTGATGTGGTTCATCTTCTGTCAGCAGCTGTCCAAACTCTCTTAAGAAGAGATATGTCACTAAACAGAAGGCTATACTCATGGTTGCTAGGTATGGTACCACATATAGTTGTTATTATTTTTGCATTCTTTAATTATCCTGAATTAATTTTCAGAATAAGGTAGGTCTTGGTATATTAAATCTCAAATAGTGTTGCAGTGATCTAGCTTATATGCTTACAAAGAAATATCTGTTATTCTTTGTCCTCAAAATACTTCAGTGGAAGGGAAGTATCATGTGCACATCAAATGCAACAGCTATGCTGAAGATAGCTGATGCTGAGGGCAAGAAATAGTAATGGAGCAAAAGAGGGGGAAAGTTCATCTTTTGCTGTGATTTCTTGTTTTATTAATTAAAACTGTAATGCTATATTGTACTTTTTGTTTACTTACAATTATCTTTTTTAAGGTTCTGATATCAAAGGAAGTGCTTCTGTACCAGATTTATCTATTAAAGCATCCTTAGAAGATTATGCCTGCAGTTTTTTTGAAAAATACTCCAAAGAACTTTTAGTTGAGGTAGGTCCATATTATACTCTTTAAAAGATGATTTCATTAAGTGCTGACATTCTAATATTAGATTAATAAATTGTTGCTACTGGTTCTGGCTACTATTATATAATAGCAGCTTCTAGAATCTTACATAGAAAAGTGAAAATTGGTTCCAGATATAAGATGTGCTAGAAAGAAGTGAATTTGCCAAGACCTAACTTACAACAGTTTGTTTAGTCACTGTTCAAAATGACAACGGCACTGAAAAAAGTGACTAATGGCCATTCTCCACACTTACAATCATTGCAGCATTCCCATGGTCATATGATCAAAATTCAGACACTTGGCAACTGACTCATATTTATGAGAGTTGCAGTGTCCCAGGGTCATGTGATTACCTTTTATGACCTTCTGAGAAGCAAAGTCAATGGGGAAACCAGATTCACTTAACAGTCATGTTACTAACTTAACTGCAGTGATTCACTTAACAACTGTGGCAGAAAGGTCATAAATAATAAAAATAAGTTAATAAATGTCTCGCTTAGCAACTGAAATGTTGGGCTTAATTGTGATTGTAAGTTGAGGACTACCTGTATAGAGGAATAGTGTTTGGGGGAAAAAACAAGATCAAAAAGAAAGCTATGAGAAAGCTGGAAACTAGGAGTAAAAGTATCTTCAATTGATTTTCTGATGTGGGCTGAATTAACTGCAACTGTCCTTTTTTTCTTCCTAAAATCTTATTTCAGTTCAAATGCAGTGGTTGTCCCTCTCCTACAAGAGTATTGTACTATTAATTCAGTCATGTGTCATTTTAAGAATAGTGTTGAATGTTTCAAATTAATTTATTGGATTTTTTTATAATAAATAATTACTAATAAAAATAGCTAATAATTACTTAAAAGGCAGAGAACACCTAATTTACAATGTTTTGTTGACTAATAGGGTTTAATTGAAATACTACATCAGAAATTTTCAGAGTCTGACTTGGAAGAACAGCACCATGCATATTTGAAGCCATTCCGCATCCTCATAAGCCTACTAGACAAGCCTGAAATAGGTAAGAGAAAGAGATGCTTTTCTTCAAGAACTAAATGTGCTAAGCCACAGTATGGGGAAACACAGGTTTCTGCTGAAAAGCATGTGATAAGTTATCAGTTAACATAGATGCTAGCCAATCATTTTAAATTAGCATTATCTAAATAGCACTTCAATGTTGTTCAATATTTCTTAAATTCATTATTAATTTGAATATGTCATGGAAAGAATACTATATATCTCTCCATAGCTTGTTTTCTGATTTTTCTTTCTTCATAACATATTGTATCATACTTAATTACTGCTTGGTATCTGTCATTGTTTGAGAAAATGGTTTAGACCGGGGTACCTGGGCTGCGGCCTGGGCTGCGGCCTACTACCAGGCCGCACAAATGGTGGGTGAGCGTGCATGCATGTGCAGCTCCACTTGAACTAGTGGTGGGTGCTCATGCTCAGGCATGAAGCTCCAGTTGCATAAGCGGCAAACACTTGGACTTACACGCAAATGGAGTTGCTGTTCCCACAGAACTATCCTCTCTCTCCCCCACCCCGGTCCACCAAGTCAGGAAGGTTGGGAGCTGGTTTAGGCCTAGGATCTTTCCAGCTGTTTAGTTAAGAGAAGATAGAATATTTTCTTGGTCTGAGAATAGACATAACAAATGAAAAAGTACATAGAAAACAGAAGTCTGATATTAAAGTAATTTCCATCCTGAGAACGTATAAATAAACCATTGCATAATTCAGTTGATATATCAACTGAGGTAAGTTCTGCAAAATAGAGTGTAATACAAAACTAGAATATTGAGATTCTGTTCTAATCACATTGCTAATCATATCTGTGAAATCCTAATAATGCTCTTAAGATTTACTGTATGTAATAATACACTGAGCTGCAAAGAAAAAGTTGCGTCAATATAACTTTGTAATAAGATTTTATTCACATGTGTAAATAAGTTTTTAAATATTGGATTCCTTTATATTTCCCTTATTGTAGGCCCACTAGTCATTGCGGACTTGTTTCTTGAAGTGATCAGAGCATTCTATAGATACTGCAAGGAAACACTGGGTTCTGATCTTGAACTTAGCTATAGTCAAACTGGGAATGTCTTTACAAGGTATAGTGTAAGCTTCTTTGTTTTCTGTTTACTTAAGTAGCTAAATCAATAAATTATTTATAGGGGGGGTTTTTCTGGTTGCTGGATACTGCTACTATATTTCTGATCAGAATTACATGTTTTCATGTGTCCAGTTCTTCAAAATATGTCCTTGAAAGTAATTTGAGCATTTTCCAAGCTATTGTCCTGTTTGTCCTGCTAGTTAAGACTTGCCATGGGGTCTCTGCTAAATCAGTAGTTGCAAAAGTCTATCAGAGATATGAATTTGTCTGGGTTAACACACAGCCAGCTTGTTAATTGGGATAGAAACTGGGAGACCATGAGCTCTAGCACTGCCTCGGTCATTAGGTCAGTTAGGTGATTTGGAGCCAGTCACTCTCTTTCAGAAAGGAAACAGTGGCAAATCACTGCTAAACACATTGCCAAACTGATTGGTTTTAGCCATGAAGTCTCAAAGAACCAATACTGACTTGAGGGCAAAAAGAGTAATAATGGCTTAACAAGTTCGTCCATAAAGCTATTGTGGCTACTGCTACTACACATGCTTAAAGCAATTTAATCAAAATAGAGTAAGTAATTCACCAGTAATCTTAACAAATTGAGATTCTTGGGAAAATGCTATAGGATTGTCAGTTAAAATGAAATCCTGCAGTGCTGCTTTAGTGCAAAAAGGAGAGCGGTTATGTTGGAAAGGAATGGCAGTAAACTTGGTCAAATTTCAGGACAGGTATGAGCTTAGGGTTTCAGCTTCATTTCTGAACACCTAATTCCAAATTTTGTACAATCATCTTAAAATATGTTTATTTATTATTAAAATAATATGCCTTACATTAAATATATATTTCCTCTGCATATATTTACTAAACACTGTTGATTCTCTTTTTAGTGCAATAAAAGAAAACAAGAATGCATCTGAGATTGTTAAAACAGCTAACATGCTGATCACATCCTTAAATACAGATTTTCTGTGGGATTACATGACCAGTTGTATTGAGGACTGTTTAAGGTAGTTACAGATCTTGTATTTTTGCTTTGGAGATAAGAGAATAATAGAGGAACAGTAATAATTTATCTTAAATTCAGATTACAAATGCCGGGCAATTTTGGGGCTATCATAATATGCCCATGCAATATCACTGCTGTGCAAGCCACATTGGCTTCCAATAAATTTCAGGGTACCACCTCAGGCAACAATCTGTCTTTCAACTTTGCTGCTCTTCTCGGCACCCTTTCTAAAGTCTCAACATCTTTTTTTTTTTGTATCATGGTAACCAAAACTGGACATAGCATTCCAAGTATAGTCTTATCAGTGCAGTATAAAGCAGTAGTAATACTTCACGTGACCTTGATACTATCTGTTGATGCAGTCTACAACTGCATTGGCTTTTTTGGCAGCTGCACCACACTACTGGCTCATATTTAACTTGTTGTTCACTAGCACTCCTAGATCTCTCTCAATAAGACCCAATGTACAAGTCTGTCAAGATCATTCTGGATCTTGAGTCTATATTCTAGAGCAGGGGTCCCCAACTCCTGGTCTGCAGATTGGTACCAGTCCATGGCCCATTGGAAACTGGGCTGCGCAAGCAACAGACACACACATGAAACCATCCCCTTGCCCCGCCACCCACTGCCGCTGCCAGTCCATAGAGCCAGAAAGGTTTGGGATCACTGTTCTAAAAGTGCTGACTATTCCCCCCAGCTTAGTATCATTTGCAAATTTGATGAATTCCCCTTCTATCCAAACATCTAAATCTTTTATGAAGATGTTGAAGAGTACTGGCTAAGACAGAACTGCATGCTCCCCTCCTCCCCTGTAGAAGTAGTTACATTGAGGACTTCATGTTGAGTGTGGTTGGTCAGCCAGTTACAAATCCATCTGTTGGTGATGTTTTTCCCATTATTGTGAGATGTAGCCCATCCCCTGCCAGAAGCCCCTCATGTAGGTATTGTAGGCCATGGTCTAGGATTCAAAGGTCTCTCAGCGGCACCATCTTCTAAGCCAGTGGTTTACTTCAAAAGTTCTATGTTTCCTCATTGGATGCCTACCTTTCGTTTGGAGTATAGAAGAAAACACCACCTGTGGCCCCAACTCTTTGGGTTTTCATGCCTAGCTGCTCATAGTCTCTTCATATGGTTTCTAGGCTCTTTGTCATATCATTCATCCTCACATGAAAGAGGAGAAAGGGATAATAATCTGTGGACTTAATTATTTTAGTAAACTTCTCAGTTATATCTTTGATCTTTGTTTCTGGGAGACAGCACACCTCCCTAGATTGATTGTCCAGTCTACAAATTACTGATTCATTTCACCTGAGCAGTGTGTCTCCTGTCAACCACATAGACCTTTTTTTTTCCTTAAGGAAGACTTTTTTCCTTCAATTGGTACACTTGATGATGTCTCCTCTTCAGGTGTCTGCACGTTTTCTTCCAAGGGGAAGTTATTAAATTGATTGTTTAGCTCCAAGCAAGGCTAGATTGGATTGAGTTTGAGATTTTTTTCCTTCTATGAATGACATGTTGCCATTGATCTGTCTCTAAAGGTTCATTTTCTGTGTTAGTTAATTGTTCCCTACTACGTTCAGTTTGAATGCAATCTTCTTCCTTTAGTTGGAGTTTCTCATTTTGTTGGTTGAGAGAGAGGGAGGGAGGAGATTTTTGATGCTCCCTGCCAAATTCCCACAAGGAAACTCAATGGGGAAGCCAGCAGTAAGTCAGAATTCGCTCTGTTCCCATTGCGTTTTTGCCCACTCATGGTCATTCTTTTCTGTTTAAATAAGGAAATATCTATGACACAATGACCCAACAGAGCATAGCTTACCTAATATCTACTAAAATATGCTTTCTACTGTGTTTTAGAAAATACAGTACTTGATTTGAGAAATAAAAGTATAATATCTAAAGAAGTTCGGTTCTTAAAAATGTCTTTGGAAGAGCCACTTAACCAGTTCAATGTGTGTTTTATATGTTACTGTGTTTATTACATTTATATTGAAAACTGCACATGATCAAACTTGAATGAAAAGTTTTTTTTTAAAAAAAGCCATCCTTTTTTTCAGCAACAAAAATAAATCCACACAGACACAACTTCTAACTAATAGTGCAACAGTTTCAGAACTCTGCGCACTAATAGTGTTTCTTCTAGATGTGATACCACTGGTAAGTCAAAATCTTTAATTTTGTCTCTTAAGCCTTTCATGTAATTTTTTTCATCAATATGTACAGATGTGTTCTACTTGCCAAGGAAATCTTTATGCAGGGGTATAGTCCCACTGGAGCTGTTTAGAGTTAATTTTTGACATAATATATATCTATGCTGTTAAATTATGAAAAACATTTCATGTCTTTCTACAAAACAAGCAGCAATCAGCAGAAAGGAATAACACTACAAACAATTCAGTTAAACAAAATTAACAGATAACATAAACCTTAAGAGAAGAATGACCACTTGCAGCCGAAATGTATTCTACAGTTTGTAACCAATATTTTTAAAAAGCCTTATTCTCAAGACATAGATTTGTGCCATTACCAAGAATTGGTTTTCACTATGCTTACATTCTGCTTCAATTTTATAGCATTTCTAAATTGAATAATTTTTAGGAATGTGGAGAGAAATTATTATAGTTCATACTTTCATTTGTTGATTTATACTGTTTTGATCATAATTATTAATATTCATTTGCTTAGAAATTAATAGCAATTTTTTTAGCCATTTAAAATAATATATTCACTTATTCACAACTAATTAATGACAGGAAAAGTGGCAGAAAAATTATACCCTCTATGACATCTGTAAATCCTTTGTTTATTGATATGTATTTTATACTTATTTTTTCCTACTGCGTCTTATTTGTTTATATGTATTCAATAAAAAGAGGAAAAAACATAAAAGGGAAAAACCCTTATTTTCATTAGCCAAACAAGTGGGACTTTGCAAGCAGGGATAACTAGAAGGGTTTTGAAGGTCTTAATATCCAGATGAACTCATGGGGAGACAGCCAAGGTCTATGTGTTGAATTTAATTCCACAATAATGAATGCCTAGTAAAGACTCTTGCATTATTGATATAATACGATCATAATACTATGCCCAGGTTAGTTCCCACCTATTAACCAATTGAAGAACAGTCTTCCACAGGATCCCAAGGCATCATATTATGTTATGACTCAGCAATGTCTGATTGGCTTCAGAGCACTCACAACTAATACACAATTTACACGATTATTACTTTTTTTTGCCACTGCTACCAGTACTAAAGTGCTGCCAGATCTATTGATCTGATGCAGTCCCACCATCAAGGCTTGATTTTATTTTCTCATTTTATCTGGATTTAATTTCAAGTCTTTTTTAACTGCTTGCTTACTTGAACCTTCTTGCTTTTTGTAGGAACTTTATTCTGAAGTACAGTCTCTGTATCTGCCACAAATGCTCAGCTGTATGGTGCAAAGTCTCTTTGAAAACATGGAAGTACTAAGTTTATCAGAGCTCACATACGTGTTTAGAACATGCTTTAAAGTGCTTAGTAAAGTACAAATGCCATCTGCCTACCTGAGTACTGAAACAGGAAGCTCAGACTCTGTAAGTATTAATATGTTATTCTGACCCATCTTTGCACGAGTTTATTTACTTACTAAGGCCATGCCATATATATTTGTATTTCAAATTGTGCTTTTCATAATGCATGAATAATAATGTGACTGTTCAATAGAAGAGTGATTCTGGTGGCTGCATTCTGATAGTTGGCATAAAATGGAAACTGTTCATTTACCTGTGAGAACTATTAGCTCTCCAAAACAACATTTATTTTATAATAATACTACAATTCCAATATCTACATAGGAAATTATAATACAATATGGACTAAAGTTGTGCTTATTTAAGTACATCGTAGTGAAAGATAGCTTAAAAAAAGATTTTTACTTATTTCTTGGAGCAGGAAAAAAATCTATTTAAAAATAATAGTTGATTCTTGTTTCTAAACGTTTGAGACTAAAGGATGTATATATTCATTTTTTCATGTTCTAATTTTGGATTATTATGTTCACATGTTTATGAACACAGGTGCAGCTATCCATGCAATCTCAGATTCTGCTTTATTAAGGTTCTTGTACTTAAGCAAATGCAATTGAACATTCATGTATTGTGCAAAATATAAAGCATCCAGTCTTAAACAGCAGCAAATTCTTTTGGCTGTATTAACGAAAGTCAAAGAGAAAAAGAGGCAGGACCAATTGTGACTCTCGTTAGGAGAGGACCAAGTAGAACCAAGCAAACATTTGGCACCCAAGGACTGCACTAAACCTTTTCAGGTGCAAGCTGGAGTGGGGGGCTACATTACACATGGGTGAGAATGAGTTGGGAACAATTTGAGAGGTCCTCTTTGTTTATTTTTTTAAACATTAATAGTCCAATTTTAAGGCTTTACACTATAAATTTATTCATTTTCTACCTCAAAATGACAAAAAAACTCTCTATTCCCATATTTTGGCAGTTATGGTCCCCAGAAGCACTGACAGCTGCAGAAAGGAATCCAAGGCCATCTAGGGCTTTGGAACTGAAGGTTGCCTGTCTAAGTTCAACTGAGTATTTAAACAAGAATTTAAATGTGTATCTCATATAAATATTAACTTTTAATACGTCTTAACTCTAAAGGATATATTTATTCTTACTTAAGGTTTCTTTTGCTGTCATATAAAAATAAATATATACTTATGCATTAGACATATTCATTGCAATATTGCAGAGTCCTGTAAAGGAAGACAGCCAGGAAATAAGTTCAGAATCCAAAGTGCTAGAAGATGAAGAAGACATTCCTTTACCTTCAATGAAATCTGAAGACAGCGGCATTGCTCTTAGTGCTTCATCTCCTGAACTGTTACAGCATTTGAGGATACCTAGGATAATCCCTGACAAAGATGATGTCTGGAAAAAGGGTGGAAACATGCAGATGACTTTGCACTATATCCAGGAACTGGTTGCAAAATTTGCCAGTAAATACATATTTGAGATACATTTACAGAATTCCAATAATGACAATGTTTCAAAAGTCCATGTCAGACCAGAAAATAACAAAGAGAATAATTACCAAGTTGCCATAAATTCTGGGGATAAAAGGCACTCATATGAATCCAGGCAGATAGTGGTGCCTCAGTTGAAGCGAATGCTAACAGATTTCTTCACTGTACGAGGATCACCTTTTAAACAGAAAGAGCTGAAGCCTTCCTCCCCTTCTGATGAATGTGATAATCCAAGGGATAAAGAGGAGAAAGAGTGGGACTTTGATCCAGTTATGTTTGATTTGGGAGACACACGAGAGGATTGCAGAGAGGCCTTTTCAGCTCTGTGCTATCTCTTACTGGATTGCACTACATTTCCGGTCTACCTTTCTGAAGAAGAGTCTGAACTGTTGCATTTGTCACTCTTTCAAGTGTCTGGTAAGAAGAACATTCTCATTCTAGCATTCTGATAATTTACATCGCAGAAGAATGCAAAAGAAGGAGATTTTGAAGGGAAATATTCACAAATGCTAACCTAAAATCTATACATCTATAAATTAACAAGTGTATCACATTGAATACAATGGATCCTACTAGTCAGTAAAATTATATACTCATTTGTGGCTGATATTTCTGTATTTCTGTATTTCCCTTGCCAGAGCAATTAAGGGTTGCTTAATTTAATAATTTGTTGAATAATTTAATCAGCATATTACCAGGTAAAATGCCACCACTAGTAAAATTAGAAAATGTACCAGCTGGATTAGCATCAAAGTAAAGTTAATGAAAAATTAAGAGTTATTGGCATGCTTTTCAATAATTGCAGAAACAGAGCATTTCAACCACCATATATTTGTAAGCAAATAGTTCAAAGAGACTAAGCATTCTTAGTAAATTTGGAATATTGAATTGCCACTTGGAAAAAAAGTATTCATAAAACTGATGGAATAATAGGTCATCTATATACATTCCGAAACAGAAATACTGAGATGTAATAGATGAATATACACTAAAATACTGTAATACACAGGAAAATATAAATTTAACAAACACAATTCAATATGGGAATGTCATTTTTATATTTTTCAAATCTCCAGTTAATGATTATTTGAATAATGCACCAAACTCTTTATCACTTTCATTAGGAGGCAATGAATCCAGTTTTCCCTTGTGGCTCAAATCCTTGATGACAATATGTTGCTGTGTTAATGACTGCTACATTCAGAATTTGGCCATTTCTGTACTGCTAGAAGTGATCAACCATTCCCAGTCACTGGCATTGGTTATTGAAGACAGAATTAAGCGATATAAAATTCCTGGGCAAAACCCCTTCTTTGGAAGACTGCAGATGGTCACAGTTCCTCCTATTGCTCCTGGAATCCTAAAGCTAATTTCAGAAAAAACTGATTTCTATCAGGTGCTGTGCTTTTTTTTCCACTTAAGACATTTGTGCATATGAGACAATGGAACATTTAGAACTCATGTTATTGTCATTATTACTTGAAGATAACCAATAGCATTTCTTGTTACTTTCCTTACTTAAACTAAGCCAACAAATAACAGAGCCATTTAAGCAGGTGTGGGGATAACCAGTTAAACAAGTACTCTTTTTGCCTTTAATATCATGGTTGCTCACATGTTTAGCAAATAGTATCACATTTATAGTTGCCTTACAACATGCCTTCTCATCCTTCATTAAGGGTCTTATAAAATGACATTTTGTACCAAAATTTTAATCCCTAATTACTATCCAAAACCAATGGCATAAATAACAACTCTGATCACAAACTTGATCAGCAACCAATTCAGTAGAAAACTGTTGAGTACTGAGCTATGATTAAGTGTCTCTCCAGCCCAGTTTAGATTTGTGTTGACATATTTCTTATTTATGCTATTTTTTTAGGTAACAGATGTAAGGTTGCAATTCAAGTTAGCACAATACATGTTAACTCAGTCAGTAAAGGTAGTCAGGGCAACTTTGCTAATGAAGTCAGCTGTATTTTAGTATTCAAGTTGTTGCTTGTATTAGTATAGGCTTCAATGAATTAGTTGATTGGCAGTGAATATGGACAAGAGAGAGGCTGAGTGGAGAACAGAGGTTTTCCAGGAATTGGTGACCAACATGGCACTGTTTTGTCAAAAATAACTGAGAATCACTGAACTAAAGGCCCTGTGTTAAAGTTGTTGAAGGAGCAGAAAGACAAATGGAGAGAAAACAGTAATTTACAATAATAGCATGTGATAATGCAATCCAAGATAACCTACAATCAGTAGTGTCCAAGATTGCAGATAGTAAGCAACTGTGAATAACTTCAATAGAAAATAAGTACATAAAGAATGTTGTTAATAGCTTGTTTCTTCCCATGTTAATTCTGAAATGCATTCAAACTTCTGTATATCCATTGGGGAAAAATAATGTATTATATATCGTAATACGATTTAATATAGAGTTAATGAACATTAAGACCAAGATGTTTTTCATTAATATAGAACTTTCTGTATCCTGTGTTAAATCTTCCTAAAATGGATAATTTGATTTTTTTTTTAAATTACAACAGAGAGTTGCTCAAGTGCTTTGGAATCAGCTAAACAAAGAGACACGAGAGCATCACAATACTTGTGTAGAATTGTTCTACCGTCTACATTGTCTAGCTCCATCTGCTAATATCTGTGAAGATATTATCTGCCATGCATTACTGGATCATGATAAAGTAAGGTTTAGTATTTTGCAATCCTGACCTAAATCAACTCTTCACAGTTTTTCTTGAGCAGTATGCCAAAGTCAAACTTCAAAATAGTTAAAGTTCTCCGTGACATATAAATAATTATTATTTCTGTTATGTAAAATTATAATTCAGCAATATTTTGAGGTCCTTAAGTTAGGCTGAGCACAAAAGAATTGAGGCCTTTGAACTATGGTGCTGGAGAAGACTCCTGCAAGTCCCCTGGATTGCAAGGCGATCAAACCGGTCAGTCCTAGAGGAGATCAACCCTGACTGCTCTTTAGAAGGCCAGATCCTGAAGTTGAAACGCAAGTACTTTGGCCACCTAATGAGAAGGAAGGACTCACTGGAGAAGGGCCTAATGCTGGGAAAGATTGAGGGCAATAGAAGAATGGGACAACAGAGAATGAGGTGGCTGGATGGAGTCACTGAAGCAGTAGGTGTGAGCTTAAATGGACTCCAGAAGATGATAGAGGACAGGAAGGCCTGGAGGAACGTTGTCCATGGGGTCATGATGGGTTGGACACGACTTCGCAACTAACAACAACAAGTTATATACCACTGTTATAGACGATGGTACATACTTAAATATAGGGCTATGTATTGGGGAAATTCCAACATCATAATTATATACATAGTTGTGGAAAACGTGATGAACAAAACAGCATAAGAATTAGAATAATTAGAAGTTTGACATCAGAAAAACAAGGATAAAGTAATACTAGAGCATTTTAACTCCCTAAGATATTGTATCACAGATCTCAAAGTAACATTTTGGAAAAAAGAAGCATTAATGCCACAACCAAGTAAGACATTGCTGAACTCACATATCAGGCTATTTCAAAAAGCCTTAGCACAATGGCTTTTTAACATACTACATTATTAATTGATAAGGTATGTGTGATCTGTCTCACATATCAGCTGCATCTATATAACCAGCTTATCTTTCCCTTCCTCTCTTTCCCACCTCATCATCCCAGTTTAAATCCTGTGTCAGTTTAACTACTCCATGCATCTGATGAAGTGAACTATAGTTCACAAAAACGTAAACCTGTTTAAAATTGTTTACTTATAAAAATTGTCCAAAAATGAAGAAATAATACACTCAATCATTCCTGATGTTAATAACATTTTTTTCCTAAGCCTCATTTTTGTGATCGGCAAAGATTGAAGAAGAATTGCTCATTTTATTGCTGCCATTTTAAATTTGACATTTTCTAAAAATACATTAATTCCCATTTTATTTTTTTATGGAATTGTAAATATTGATTTGTTTAGCTACATATAGGAAAAAAAACATAAGTATAATAAATGCTACTAAGAACTGCTTCCCATATCAGCAAATTATTTCCATGTTCCTTAATTATTATAAAGGTTTTCAGATTTGAATGATAGAAATATGTGTATTTAAATATAGTACATTTAACTATTTTTTTCTTTTATTTTGGATTTCTTTCCTGCAAGTGCATGAGACTGGAAGCACTGTTCAGATTCTCCATCTTGTGGCATTTGACTAGAGAAATTCAGGGCAATAGAACTACATCCCACAGCCGATCTTTTGATAGGTATAACTATTTTGCATTGGTATATTTTAAAAAACTTTATTTAGTGTAATCAGTATAATGGAAATACACTACTGATATAATCTCATATTTGCACAAGGATGTTTATTTTCATTTCATTATTACAGTATTGGGTTTTTGTACTCTGTGTTGTAGTCTTCTCAGAACACTATCATTGTTTCAATAGTTCTGCCTTCTATTATTATTTTTTCCTGTAGATCCCTGTTTGTTGTCCTGGATAGTCTGAATTATTCAGATGGAGCAATTAGTGCTGCAGCACAGGGTTGGTTAATACGAGCACTCTCCCTTAACGACGTTACAAGAATTCTTGAACCTGCCCTTCTGCTTTTATTACATCCCAAGACACAACGTGTCTCCCTTCACTGTATCAAGCAGAAAAACTCAGCAGGTAAGATTATATTTAGGAAAACTCATATTGGATCCGACCAAGATACTATCTAGCTAGAGTGTCTCTTTCCCAAGATGATCGTTCAGATACATCTGGGAAGAATACAAACAGTAGTTCTCCTTTTGTTTCTCTCTGCCAATTAGTTAATGTATTTTAGTGGGATGTTTTCTTTGAACTAGAATTTTATTTAACAAGCACAGATAATATTACTTATAGATCATGCTAACTAATTTAATGCTTTTTCAAGTTATTTTAGTTGATGGCTATCACCATTCCTTGGTTTATAGACTGTTATAGCTTATTTTGTCTCCTATATGTACTGATAACCTCACTTAAACAAATTATTTATATTTTTTAAAAAGCATTGCCCATGTCACCATTAGTATTTTTTCTTCCTAAAGAGAGCAAAAAAAAAAACCACCTTAATTTTCTTGAAATGAAAGTGCTGCAAGTCCTTAATAATAAGCTTCACCCCATGAAATAATTCAAAAAGTTACAATTACACATTTCAGATTTGACCAAGTAACTGTTTGTGTATGTGTGTGTACACTATATATATGAAAAGCATTATGATGGTGGTAATTCTGTTTTCAGTCTCTGTCCTCTTTAGCATGGTATTTTCCTTTTGCATTGTTTCAAAATCTAAGGGACTGGTTTGGACAAAACTCAGCAGCACTTTTTCGTGCAGCTGCTGATAAAAACAGGATCACCAACATGATCGCCAACATCCGATAACGGATATGGCACAAGAAGAAGAAGAAGATTGCTGCTATATGAGTGTTTGTGTATGTATGTGCATGTATTTATAAAACATACTTATTTTAAATTATATGTTCTTTTTAGAAGACATATCTCTATGGTATAAAAAGAAAACCGTCTTTCAGGAATCAGTGAAGTCTCAAGATCTGTGTGAAAGCAATTCTGAAGAAACTTTGCCACTGAGCCAATTCACAGTTGTGGACAGAGAAGCTATATGGGCTGAAGTTGAAAAAGACCCAGAGAAATCTCTATTAAAAAATGAACTCTCTGTAAACAAACATTTTCTATATGCAGAATCACTGCTAGAAATGGGCAAAGATGAGAGTGAACACACTGAATCTGCCGATACCAGTACCGGGCCTGTGGACAGTGATAATACTTCATCATTTTCACCTTCTCTTGAACAGCAAGATCTGAACCATGAGGAGAATAATAGTGCCTCAACAGATGGCAGAAACAGTATGAAGCATACTGGTTCTTCTAATGTTTACCCTGCTGATAGTTCAAAATCAAGTGCTGTGATAAACTTAGTACGTACCGATTCTGATAGAACCCGGGCATCAGAATCTCTCTCAAGTGATGATGAAATGGATTTGGAACTTCAAGCACTTATAACATCTAGATTACTAAAGCAACAGAAAGAAAAACAGGAGATGGCTGAAGCTCTCTTTAAACATGTTCTCTTATACATACAACCATATGATTCAAAAAGGGTTCTGTATGCATTTTCTGTGCTTGAAGGAGTGCTTAAAACAAACCCTAAAGAGTTTATTGAAGCTGTAGCAAGTACAAGCATGGATACAAGTTCCACAGCTCATTTGAATTTAATCTACAATTTATTAGCTCGCCACCAGGAATCACTTGTGGGACAGAGCTTTTATGGCAAACTTCAAATTCAGTCACCAACAATGTGTCCCCATTCATTATTAATAGAATTGTTAATGTATCTATGTTTAAGTTTCCTGCGTTCTTATTATCCCTGTTATTTGAAAGTGACTCATAAAGATGTGCTTGGCAATAGAGATGTCCAAGTGAAAAGTGTTGAAGTATTGATCAGAATGGTGACTCAGCTGACAACAATGGCCAAATCAACAGAAAACAAGAATATAGAATTCATACGCATCTTGCTTGGAAGATGCAAAATTCAAGAATTTGTCCTTCTTTCTCTCTCTGCTTCTATGTATGTTAGTCAGAAATGCTATGAATGTATGTTAGCTAATAAGGCTAATGGTTTAAGTGAGCACTATATCCTTGAGGAAAGTCTTATCAACTTTGGTCATGATCAGATTTGGAGTGAACAGCCTTTACAAATTGAATTAATTAAACTTCTGCAAGTACTAATAGTGTTGGAGCACCATCTTGGGCAGACTCAAGAGGAACAGGAAAATCAGCCAGCCCTGTCTAAGGAATGGCAGAGGGCTCTTAGTTTTCAGGAAGCTATCAGTGCTGTGCAATATGTGCATCCACACCCTATAACTTCTCAGGGGTTATTTGTGTCTGCAGTAGTTCGAGGCTTGCAGCCAGAATATGGCTATGGCATGCATCCATCTTGGGTAGGCTTGGTTACGTACTCTTTGCCATACTTTGGGAAATCTTTAGGATGGACAGTAGCCCCTTTTATTGTACAGATATGCAAGAATCTGGATGAGCTTGTCAACCAATATGAGCATGAAGTGCTGAAGATGTCAACTAAAATGTCAGCAAGGTAGGGAATACCTACTTGTTATCTCTATGTTTTGCTACTTTAGGCTTTTGCTGGTATGAAATACTCCACATTTTCAAAGTAAAAAGTTAATATTCTGCAGTGTGCTTGGGGTTTTTTTCTGTAGAAAAGAACAGTATAAGAAGTAGGAATATGTTTGTATACTTTCTTGGAATATTATATGTCCTAACACATTATCATTTAAGGTGACTAATGGCAATTAATGCTCATGTAGAGTTTTTGCTAATGGTTAAACTTGAGGTACCAGGAATTTGGTATTGAGAGCCTTTGGCCTATAAAGCAGAGGTCCCCAATCTTTTGGGCACCAGGGATCGGTTCCTTGGAGAGAGGTTTTTTCATGGGTTTTTTGTGTGCTGCCTGCATCTCGCAGATGGAGCTTTGCTTGTTTGTGTGGCCCGGTTGCTGGCATGCCGCGGCCTGGTACTGGTCCATGGACCAGGGGTTGGGGACCCCTGCTATAAAGCATATGCTTTACTATTGCATAGTTCCTTTCCTTTCCTGAATTAGGTGGTTCCATTAAAAGGAGTATGTAGATTAGGAAAAAAAATATCATTTCTTTTATCTTTGGTAGATTTCTTCTCTACAGAACATTCTGCTTTTGCTTTCCCCTGCCCCCAACTTTTTAGGGAAAACTTTTAGTTATATGTTTGTTTTTATAGATAAATGATTCTTGGCTAAATAGCCATAGCACATATTCTCTCCGAAAAAAAGAGTGAATAAAAATGTATGGCTAATAGACAGTTACTTATTGTAACTTTCTTTCCTAAAGCATAAATTATAAAAGGGAGAACATTACACCAGATTATCCTTTAACCCTTTTGGAAGGACTTACAACGATTGGCCATTTTTGTCTTCTGGATCATCCAAACCATACCAGAAAGGTATGTGTATGCAACCAAATCATTCTTATAGTAAGATTTGGGGGAGCAAGAATGGTGAAGAAAATCTAAGGCAGGTTTGTTTCTTTGGATATTGATTCATCTCAAAATAATCAGTGATATCACTTCGTAAATTTTAAGGACACGTCTCTATATTTGGTGTCAAAAGTTTTGAGACATGCAATCAATTAATTAAAATTTTGCTCATTTTTTATATTATTATTATTATTATTATTTTGTTCTAGTCACCTTTCAATGCTGATCCAACAAGTCTAAGAAATGCTAGGAATGCCATTTTGGAAGAGTTTCCTCGAATCATTAACACCATGTCTCTTCTCTGGAATGTCATTAAAAAGGAAGATTCTCAAAAAAGACCGTCTGATTTCCTAGGCGTAAAAGGCTGTTCATCAATTTATTTCAAAGCAACAAAAGTATGAATATTTCTCTAAGCTTTAATCTATAGGTGGGATTGGAGCATAAAGTGATAATATTTTCTAATGTGAAATTTTTTACAGATAGCATGGAAGTGATTAACAGCTTTTCTAAAAGATTACATTTTGAAACTTAAAACATTAGTGTAAAATCGAACAATTACATTTTCCATTGTTTCAATTTTTCCAGTTTTATTTTGCTAATATTAATTACGTGTAAACAGATACTTTTTCAACAGCCATAAAGTTAAACCATACTTTTGTTCACCACAATTTCATCCAGTTCAGGGTCAGAATCCCTGGAATATACAAACAAGCATTTGTCTACGAAGGAACAAAAATATGATTAGAGCATTTTTATTTTTTTTAAACAGATATTAAAGAATAAAATCCTAGACTTCTTGAATCCCCTCACTGGACAACTTGGTGTGCAACTAATAGCTGCAACAGCAGCAGTTTGGAGCAGCAAAAGACCTCATAAATATCAAACAAAGGTAAAAGAATGCAAAAGTCCAGTGGGTCATTCCACAGCCAAGGTTAAGCTAGACCTATTACATTCATGCATACAAACATATATTCCTTTAGAGGTAAGCAGTGTTATTCCAAGCATATAAAAGTGTAGCAAATAGCAAACAAAAGAAACTGATTACATGCAAAGTTAATGCAGTTTACACCAAACATATTTCTCTCTATCTTTAGAGATTATCCTTGTTTCTACACAGTGCTTTATAAAATGCCTTTGTTTCTTTGAATTTCTCCCTTCTTTTCAGAATCTGGTCTTTCCATTCTTTCAACCTATTCACTCTTCTTTCCTATATTTCTTTTGCAATTTGATACTTGTTCCGTGTTGATATAAAGCTAGTGCTCAGTTAACAACTGATTAACAATTTTTCAAACTTAAAATGGCACTGAAAAAAAAAGTTTTAAAAACAGTTTTCAAATGTATGACTGTTGTAGCATCCCCATGGTCACCCGGATGCCATTTTTGAGCTTCCCAACTGGCTTCCAACAAGCAAAATCAATGGAGAAGCCCGCAGTAAGTTGTAAGTCACAGTCAGGTGATGTCATACTTCATAACCTGCAATGGTTTACTTAGCAATTGCAGCAGAACTGATATCTTACGTTTGGCACAGTTATATGATGTTTCATTTAATGACAACATCACTTAGTGATAGAGTTGCCAGTTCCAATTGCAGTCATTAAGTGAGGACTACTTTTACAAAGAAATCACTGCCAGCTATTCATTCTTGATTCTGTCTTTGTTTTATCCTGCATGCTTCTTAAATGCCCCATTTGTGCTCCATTCAAGTAATGTTTATGTTTCTCCAGACATATCCAATTCTGTTTCCTACATAATCAAGTGGGTAAAAGCACACTTATATATATGCAGACATTTTCAGTTGTTGTGATGAACATTTGTTCCTTGCATACTGCCTACCATCTTTCAGTCACTACTTAAATGTCTTAAAATGTATTCATCCATTTTTTCATCTTTAGTAAATTCTACTGAAATATTATTGAAGTATTCATTTACTGGTTGTAGTTTGTTGCCATTTAAATATATTATAATAATTGCTCTATCCCAGTTTTCTCATTAAATACAAGTTTATTTTGTTTTGAAAGTTTAATGTTGGATCTGCCCTCTTCTTGTATTATATAATTCACTGCAAATCTTTTGAGTTCTGAGCAACAACATAGCATCAGCTGCATACAAAAGTACACATATATTCATATTTTCAGCCAGTATATCTTTTATATTTCAAGACATTAAACAACCAAGGGGACATTTTTATGTCTGCTTAGTGCTGACTATTCATTACATTTTGTATTTGTTTTTACACTTGCTTTTGTCTTTTGTCACACTAATAGCCAACCTTCAACACAAAACATTCCTATTCACTTTATCATTTATTATTGATTTATTAAATTTGCCGCCCATCCCACTACAAGGAGACTCTCAGCAGCTTACAATGTTAATCATGCTTTATCATATGAACAGGGACTATGCATGGAACTGCATAGTCAACTGCATAGTCATAATACAACTGTATTATGAATTATGTAATTTACTAGGTGCTCATTAGTAAATTTTAGCTTTAAGTATTAAAAGTACTTTGCATATTTTAATCTTTCTAATCAATGAGTATTCATTTACTCCAGTTGTTCAGAACCATGATTAAGAAAATGAAAGCACTCCAAATTATAAAGCAAACGTGTTAATCATGCTTTCTTCCTTTCTGTTAGAAATGCCAGTAAACTCCATCTCTGTAGAACCAGTTTCATCTGATTTGTTACTTTTAGGAAGTCACAGGTTATATGAAATTGAAATGTAAAAATGTTCCTTCCAAGCCACTATTCTCTGGCAAACTACTATTAACACCTTTAAACTGAAGTTCCTGGGATTGAGGTGGGTTATGGGGAGGACTTCATGGACACAAACACAAGAATTGTATGTATGGGACTTCTGGGAAGGTCTAATGCAGCTTGTGCGTGTTGAATGTTTCTCATTCCTATAGTAAATTCTAAAAAATATATGAGTAATAGTGTCTTTTATTTTTTTTCTTTCAGATGCCTCCTAAAGCTAATACATCACAGCTAATATTGGTTGACCTTGTTTGTGCTCTCAACACTCTGAAGACTGACATTATACTGCAGCTAATAAAAGAAGTTGTAAAGAAACCTTCTCAAATTAAAGGCGAAGAGGTAGAAATATGTTTAATGGAACAGTGTAACTCATTTAAAATGATGAAATAATATTTACTTGGGTTTTTTATGCAGGCAGAGAAAGCAGGCTTTTTCATTAAAAGCTACATTTCTTAAAAAGGTTTTGAGTGTTAACTGCTACTGTTTATACAGATCGTTTATACAGATAGTTCTCGACTTACAACCACAATTAAGCCAAACATTTCTATTGCTAACCAAGGTAATTATTAAGTGATTTTGCCCCATTTTATGACCTCTTTTGCCACAGTTGTTAAGGGAATCACTGCAGTTGTTCACTGAATCACATGGTTAAGCAAATCTGGTTTCCCTTATTGACTTTCCTCGTCAGAAGCCAGCTGGGAAGATTACAAATGTTGATCACATGATCCTGGGACAGTGCAGCTGTCATAAATACATGCCAGTTGCCAAGTGACCATGGAGATGCTGCAATGGTCATAAGTGTGAAAAATAGTCATAAGTCCCTTTTTTCAGTGCCATTGTAACTTTGAACAGTCACTATGCAAATGGCCGTAAGTCGAGGACTATCTGTAATATAATGTACTATATTTTCTTTCCCAGAAATCTGCTCTAGTGGATATCCCAGTGCTTCACTTCTGCAATGCTTTCATTCAAAGGTAAATAGGCTTCCTTGCACATATTTCAGCTATTAAGACATGTATATGCCCTCCTATAGAATTTTTATTCCTGATAGTGCAAGGACAGACAAATATTTCAATTAAAATAGCTGCAAATGTGTTAAGATATAATCTCCATGACATTTCTTCTTATGATTTATTACAATGCAATGCAGCAACTTAGACTGTTATTCTAGAAAAGATCATTTTTAAAACAAATCACCAGTCCTAGTTATCATAGCGATAATTACGTAACAGTTATATTAAAAAAAACACTGGCAAATCTTGTGTACTTTAATGCTTTGAAAATACACATACATATGCATACATACATATTCATTATTTGTAACTCAAAGCAATAACAAGTAAACATAGGTTTTTTTAAAAAAGTACCCTCTTCTGTAAATCTGTATACTTCCTTCAATATTTTCTAACTGAAATATAATCCTCCCTCTCTCAGGCTTCCAGTTTCAGCCCTGCAGGAGAACTTCCAGTCATTATTAGGTGTGTTTAAGGAATCTGTGCAATTGAATTTAGCACCACCTGGTCATTTTTTGCTTCTCAGGTATGACAGTAGCAATCACTTTGGTACATGGGCTAATAATCACAATTGATCATTTTGCTGAGTTTCGTTTATTTTTCTGCAGTACTCTGAATGACTTTGTGACAAGAACTCCAAGCCAGGAGAATAAAAAGAATCAGAAAGACTTGCAGGTACTCCGCAGCATCTTTTGAATCTCTGCACTTGGATTTGGAACTGTGTACATGTGTAAAATAGTATGTCATTTACTAACCGTGCAACAAATGTTGCAAGCAACTTAAAAGTGTGTGAAAGATCAATACTTAATCTCTCATGCTATGGATGAGATTAAACTATAATGCTAAAACAGTTGCATAAAAAAAAATCTTTATTGAATTGTTCCCAATTTCAGAATGTCATCTAAAACTTGTCTTTGCTTGTCTTCAAGCAAAAGGATGGTTGTAGATTGTTTTATTGTAATTCAGAGTCTTCTGAATGTTTATTATTTTTTCTTTTCATTGTTCTTACTTTTTAAACCTAAGTTATCCAGAATCATCTAGAATAGGGCAACGTCTAATTTGTATGAATAACTGGAATTTTCAGAATTTAGTAAATCTGTACGCAGTCTGTGGGCTCTAGCGTGCACACTTCTGAGACAACTGTCTCAAACAAACAATGTTGAAGTCCACAAAAGAACAGCAAGCTATTCAAGGGAAGGAAAAGTTGTTGTTTTTTTCACCATTGCATATTATCTATTTGTGTGGATTGCTTTTCTTTCACAGTCTGTTTGCCTTTCAGGATGTAACTCACAAAATATTGGAAGCAGTGGGAAACATTGCAGCTTCTTCTCTAGAACAAACTAGCTGGCTTAGCAGGAATCTGGAAGTGAAAGCTCAGTCTCAGATCTCTTTAGAAGAATCCAATGTGGAAAATAATCTGCATGGTAAGTAAACCAGAAATTGCATTAGTTAACAATCAAAGTATGGAAGACAAGTTTTAAATATATAGATAACATTTACCGGTAAGCTAAATGTTTGATGAAATGTAGTTGTCATGTGTCTGATTAACAAAACACTTAAAAGGACTTTCAGGCATATTTTTTCCTAAAAGCATTTATTAAGGTTACAGAGACGTCAATACAGCATGGTGGAAATGCTTAGGTCTGGCTTCTCTTCCGTTACGCATATACATTCCAAGCATTTCCCACTCCCTTATTGTAGGGTCATGGTTCACATCTTCCAATCAACTTGGAAGATGTGATTTACTTCCGGTTTCTTTCTCCCGGGCTATCCTTATGCTCCTCCCTCTTTCCCAGTTGCTGGTTTAACTATATAAANCCGGCCTGGCGTAGTTTGATTATGTTTCAGTGGGGGGTTTTTTACGGGTGTGTTTTTAGAACAGGCCTGTTATTTAATTCGATTTTAAAACAAACTATTTATTTATTATTGTGGTTTTTAGTATCGCCTGTTCACCGCCCTGAGTCCCGCAAGGGAGATAGGGCGGTATATAAATTTAATAAATAAATAAATAAATAAACAAACAAACAAACAAACAAACTGAAGTTCCTGGGATTGAGGTGGGTTATGGGGAGGACTTCATGGACACAAACACAAGAATTGTATGTATGGGACTTCTGGGAAGGTCTAATGCAGCTTGTGCGTGTTGAATGTTTCTCATTCCTATAGTAAATTCTAAAAAATATATGAGTAATAGTGTCTTTTATTTTTTTTCTTTCAGATGCCTCCTAAAGCTAATACATCACAGCTAATATTGGTTGACCTTGTTTGTGCTCTCAACACTCTGAAGACTGACATTATACTGCAGCTAATAAAAGAAGTTGTAAAGAAACCTTCTCAAATTAAAGGCGAAGAGGTAGAAATATGTTTAATGGAACAGTGTAACTCATTTAAAATGATGAAATAATATTTACTTGGGTTTTATATGCAGGCAGAGAAAGCAGGCTTTTTCATTAAAAGCTACATTTCTTAAAAAGGTTTTGAGTGTTAACTGCTAGTGTTTATACAGATCGTTTATATAGATAGTTCTCGACTTACAAGCACAATTAAGCCAAACATTTCTATTGCTAACCAAGGTAATTATTAAGTGATTTTGCCCCATTTTATGACCTCTTTTGCCACAGTTGTTAAGGGAATCACTGCAGTTGTTCACTGAATCACATGGTTAAGCAAATCTGGTTTCCCTTATTGACTTTCCTCGTCAGAAGCCAGCTGGGAAGATTACAAATGTTGATCACATGATCCTGGGACAGTGCAGCTGTCATAAATACATGCCAGTTGCCAAGTGACCATGGAGATGCTGCAATGGTCATAAGTGTGAAAAATAGTCATAAGTCCCTTTTTTCAGTGCCATTGTAATTTTGAACAGTCACTATGCAAATGGCCGTAAGTCGAGGACTATCTGTAATATAATGTACTATATTTTCTTTCCCAGAAATCTGCTCTAGTGGATATCCCAGTGCTTCACTTCTGCAATGCTTTCATTCAAAGGTAAATAGGCTTCCTTGCACATATTTCAGCTATTAAGACATGTATATGCCCTCCTATAGAATTTTTATTCCTGATAGTGCAAGGACAGACAAATATTTCAATTAAAATAGCTGCAAATGTGTTAAGATATAATCTCCATGACATTTCTTCTTATGATTTATTACAATGCAATGCAGCATCTTAGACTGTTATTCTAGAAAAGATCATTTTTAAAACAAATCACCAGTCTTAGTCATCATCGCCATAATTACATAACAGTTATATTAAAAAGAAACACTGGGAAATCTTGTGTACTTTAATGCTTTGAAAATACACATACATATGCATACATACAATTTTAATGATTTTAATAAGACACAGCTATAAATATTTGGTTTTTAATTGGCTTTTATAGGGGAAATGTTTTATATTGTTTTAACATGCTGTGAGCCGCCCTGAGTCCCGTGGGGAGAAGGGCGGCATATAAGTTAATGAAAAAAAAAAAAAAAAATACATATTCATTATTTGTAACTCAAAGCAATAACAAGTAAACATAGGGGTTTTTTTAAAAGTACCCTCTTCTGTAAATCTGTATACTTCCTTCAATATTTTCTAACTGAAATATAATCCTCCCACTCTCAGGCTTCCAGTTTCAGCCCTGCAGGAGAACTTCCAGTCATTATTAGGTGTGTTTAAGGAATCTGTGCAATTGAATTTAGCACCACCTGGTCATTTTTTGCTTCTCAGGTATGACAGTAGCAATCACTTTGGTACATGGGCTAATAATCACAATTGATCATTTTGCTGAGTTTCGTTTATTTTTCTGCAGTACTCTGAATGACTTTGTGACAAGAACTCCAAGCCAGGAGAATAAAAAGAATCAGAAAGACTTGCAGGTACTCCGCAGCATCTTTTGAATCTCTGCATTTGGATTTGGAACTGTGTACATGTGTAAAATAGTATGTCATTTACTAACCATGCAACAAATTTTGCAAGCAACTTAAAAGTGTGTGAAAGATCAATAATTAATCTCTCATGCTATAATGCTAAAACAGTTGCATAAAAAAAAAATCTTTATTGAATTGTTCCCAATTTCAGAATGTCATCTAAAACTTGTCTTTGCTTGTCTTCAAGCAAAAGGATGGTTGTAGATTGTTTTATTGTAATTCAGAGTCTTCTGAATGTTTATTATTTTTTCTTTTCATTGTTCTTACTTTTTAAACCTAAGTTATCCAGAATCATCTAGAATTGGGCAACGTCTAATTTGTATGAATAACTGGAATTTTCAGAATTTAGTAAATCTGTACGCAGTCTGTGGGCTCTAGCTGTCATAAATACATGCACACCTCTGAGATAACTGTCTCAAACAAACAATACTGAAGTCCACAAAAGAACAGCAGGCTATTCAAGGGAAGGAAAAGTTGTTGTTTTTTTCACCATTGCATATTATCTATTTCTGTGGATTGCTTTTCTTTCACAGTCTGTTTGCCTTTCAGGATGTAACTCACAAAATATTGGAAGCAGTGGGAAACATTGCAGCTTCTTCTCTAGAACAAACAAGCTGGCTTAGCAGGAATCTGGAAGTGAAAGCTCAGTCTCAGATCTCTTTAGAAGAATCCAGTGTGGAAAATAATCTGCATGGTAAGTAAACCAGAAATTGCATTAGTTAACAATCAAAGTATGGAAGACAAGTTTTAAATATATAGATAACATTTACCGGTAAGCTAAATGTTTGATGAAATGTAGTTGTCATGTGTCTGATTAACGAAACACTTAAAAGGACTTTCAGGCATATTTTTTCCTAAAAGCATTTATTAAGGTTACAGAGACGTCAGTACAGCATGGTGGAAATGCTTAGGTCTGGCTTCTCTTCCGTTATGCATATACATTCCAAGCATTTCCCACTCCCTTATTGTAGGGTCATGGTTCACATCTTCCAATCAACTTGGAAGATGTGATTTACTTCCGGTTTCTTTCTCCCGGGCTATCCTTATGCTCCTCCCTCTTTCCCAGTTGCTGGTTTAACTATATAAATACCAGACAGTTCTGCATATTGTCAAAGCAAGAATATAC